CTTCTTTCAACCCTTCAATTCTCACATACGATTGTTGCAGCGCGCTACCGCAACAGGCCCAGTTGACTATGAGACGTTGGTCGCAAGTACACTCAAGATATCTGGTCACGGTGTTCTACTGGAACGGCAGCTGGTATCGCGATGACAACGGCGCATATGCACGATCGGGAAGAGATGGAGTGGAAGGACAGGTCATGGGGGTTACTGGAGAACAAGGGCGAGCTTAAGACAGACTGGGTGACCACGTCGCCTCGGGCACATGTGCGGTCGCAACTCTACATTATCGCAACCCAGAAAGGCAAAATACCCTTGAGGGTCGGTAATGCTGTTTTGGGCGGAGCAGGCATGGGTTCGGCTGCTGGTGTACATGTTTGCGTCATATGCGACGGGAAGGCTCCCTCGAGTAAGAACATAAGAAAGGGATGTATATCCGATGGCACCACGAGTGTGGTCGAGCCGTTGATGTTTTCAGGGGCTCAATGCTGGCCTATACTTTCTGTCTGTATTACGGGAAACATCTTTGACCCATGAAACCACCAGACTTTGACTGCTTACTGGGCAAGCAGCAATACATTGGAAGTTTGTTAGAGCAGCAGCGAGTTATGGCAATACCTGAGAATTACGACAGACGTGCTTCGTCATCTCCACGTACCTCCCTCCACGTAAGCTCGCAGCTCCTGATTTCCGGCAAGTGTCAATGAAGTCCTTGACGGGAATTGCATCCTGATTAGGCCTGAGGAGCCTCAGCTCGATGCAACATTCATCCTTGTTTCGACACGGGCATCGCGATGGGGTAAAGAAACAAAACAGGTCCGTGTTGTGGAGATGATATCATAGCTTCTTCGAGTTCCTCGCGATCGATTCTAGCTCCTGTGTCCTGCGTAAGATGAGACATGACATGAGGGTTGAAAAAGAAAGAAGATTAAAGGCACATGTCAAATTGGGACACCGTTACGCTAGCAGGTACGGGTTCCAGACTCGTGCGAACCATTCTTTTCGAACCAATCGAGACTCTCATCCGATGGAGAATGATATGCTGCTTTTTTGAGTGTACCTTGACGGATCGGGATACGTATTGAATGCGCAATGCGTGGTGAAAGCGGTGATAGCTGCGTGCCTAGGCTTCCGGACAACCACCTGGACTTGTGCGGGTGCTACAAAAAGTATACTATGTCCACCACTCAAATTTCTAGACTTTAGATGAACAGCATAATGTGACAACGGATTACCCCACCATCCGATGACCTCACGAGGACTCACGAGGACAAGCTGAGCTGTCTGGCCAGCGGCCTTGGTGCGGACGATTTAATATACAAACGCACAGACCGTCGGCATTTGGTCTGATCTGGTTCGTTGCAGAACGACAGCCGAAGAACTAGTGAATGATCAGATCAATAGACAAAGACGGTCTCGACTGACTCTTACAAAGACGGCCAGTGCGACTCTCTGAAACGGCGTTTGTCCGAGTCTCGCGCTCCGTTACATTGGAGCACGCGTTACTCAGGGTGTTCTTCTCGAAACGTCACCGGAACGGATCGTGATACCTGTTGAACATGGTCTAAGCTCCTGAAATTTCCACGCATCCACATGAACCAACGCGGGCTGTGGAGGTGCGCCTCTGCCGGCGGCCAGGTTGCGAAATGTACAAAGCATATCGTCAGCTGCTTCGCGAATTGTCAAACTATTGGACTACAGCTTTTAAGCGGCGGCCCCAGATTTGCAGACAGCCGGGAACAGTTACTGGACAGACTCGAGACGAACGCGCTGTGATCGGTCCAGGATCCGGGAAAAGACTGTGACACCAAGCCCTCCGTACTAGTTAGCGCTGGCGTTGCGCTCACGCAGCCCTGCACAACACCGAGGAAACCCACTTCTCGCGTTTCTGACACTCGCAGATCCCAACCACGAAAAAAAGCCCACACATGTACCGTCAGGCTACAGATTCTCGAAGCCGTCGGGTTCCGGCCTTCCGTGGCGTGCATGTCGTGTAAGACAAACGTCAACCATGGTGGGTGGGAGATACGCTGTCGTGTCCGTCGCACCATGCGTTTACGAGCCGATCTTCACCGTGAAGGCCAACACTCGAAGAGGTGGGTGTATGTATAGTAGATTGAAGCGTATTAGAGCGTATAGCACGTCCGAGTTTGCAATAGAAGCACGTGTGTACCTACGGAAGAAGACGCCCGCGGGGCAAATAGAAGGACCGTGTGTTTAATTCGGGCTGGAAGTTTTAATATGCAGGAAGTGCCAATTGCGGGGGACGCGTGAAAGCCCGGAGGTGCCTGCAACTGGGCGTGCAAGGATAGGCAAGGGTGGATGCACTTGGCCTGGCCTGGGGTTTATATGACAATTGCCCACCCTTAAGCGTCGCGAGATGTGGTTTTCGCGATTTACTTCCTGTATTGACAGTAGGTCGTCGTCGATATGCCTACCTATCCACTTCAACTCACGTGCCTGGGCGTCATCATGGGCACACCTCTTCTGGCTTCCATCTTCGTCATTCTCAGGGTATACACACGGCGGAAGCTGAACTTGCGCTTGAGCTGGGGTATGTTGCCCATACTACTGTTGGAGAATGTACAACTGACAGACTCTGATAGATGACTGGCTCATTATCCTTCCGTTACTTTTATCCATAGCTCTCATAGGGCCTTCATACAAACGTGAGTCTTCTTTCGAGCATCACACCCACCATGATCACTCTACTAACGCCACATAGATGTCAAAATGTGGCATGTCGGTGTACATATCTGGGAGGTGCCACCTAATGAGATTGAACCCAACTATGACGAATACTATGCAGTATGTATAGTCTCTGAGTAGTCCAGTTGAGATGCTAACAGTGCCCAGGTTGTCATGGCATTCAATCTCCTGAACATTCCTATATTACCTCTTGTCAAAGCTTCCATCATCCTTCTCCTCCTCCGAGCTGGTTCAGTCATTGAGTGGCTGAAGCGATTACTCTACGCCATTCTCATCTTTACTGTCGGGAGCGCCTTGATCCCATGGTGCCTCTACATCTTCATCTGCCCACCACTGACCGGTAACACCTGGAAACCGAGGACGTTTGGTGGACTGCACTGCATGGGTCGACACAAGATGGGCGAAATGTTGATTTGGGTTACCTGCGCAAACTTGTTCACCGACCTCTTGATCCTTCCCATTCCCTTCATCATCGTCCGGAGAATGATGAGCGCTCGTCTGCGATCTCGATTGGTGGTACTGGCAGTCTTCACTTGCAGTCTCGCGTAAGTAGCTTCAAGGAATCGCGGCATTTGAACCGGCTAACTCTTATACAGTGTTACTGCCATTGGTGGTGCCAAAATCTACCTATCATACCGGGACCGCCTCTTCACTCTCTTCAAGCCCGACTGGACCTACCCAATCGACTACTGCATCAATCACATCGAGAACAACGTGGCCATCATCGTGGCCAATATTCCCATCCTGCGCGGCCTCGTCACCCGGTGGATCTTCGACTTTCGAACCAAATCAACGCCCCTGGAGCGTGAGTCCCCTGAGGCTCAGGAAAACTGGAAAGAGTGGGATGCAAAGAGTGCCTCGGAAGCTAGCCGATATAAGAAGAGGGCGCGCGTGGTCCAGAAGCTATTCCCTTGCATACAAGATGACTTCTCGAGTAGCCTGGCCTCGCATGGAAAGGTCGACATCAAGCATGAATACCCTGCCCGGATTGCTACCCCGCAGAAACGATCGTACTTTCCCCGGTCGCGGAAAAACAGCTTGGACCGGTATGAGCAGGCCAATTCATGCGAGAAGGGCGACATGTTGGAGACGGTGCGCAGCGTGGGCAGTCTGGGATCTGCGCCGACGCTGGTGGAGGACAGGAACGCGGAAGTAAAGTGGAAGGGTATGGACTTGGAAAGTCCGCCGCTGAGCCCGAGGCGGTATTCAGGGACAACACTGAGCCCGATCACACCGTTGACGCCGCTCAGGTTACGGGGGATCGAGGATCTTGAAGATGAGGCGATATATCCATACCCACGGTTAAGATGATGCCGAAATAAAGTAGATAATGCTAAATGAAATTCTTATGACCCTTCAGAACTCTGTGCTTCTCTGGCTGCGACGGATGACTTGATCGTCTTCGTCATGTGCTACAGACTGATGTTGATCACTTCTATACTAATTCACGGGTTCCGCAAAGGGTATACCATAACGTGCCGTATCTAACACGACGTACTTTGATGACCTCGTATCCAGACGCGACCTCCATCGCCTTGTTGTCTACCCAACTACCGGTGTCAATCCCCATTGTCGGACCTGAACTAGCCAAGACGAACGCACTCGGACCAAGCAAAGGCACGCACGCAACGGGCACGCGCAGAAGGCATATGTCGGCAGTCCGTAATCTGGTACTTGGGCCATTTGTAAGCCCCTTCTGCTCCCCAGGCATCCGACCTGCAACTCATCGTAACTTCATACAGCCGCAGCAGCAACAACCCAAGTCCACAGACGTGGTATCCACCCGTCGCGGGCCTCTTCCCAACCTCCAAGTTATCCTACATCCTACCGTCTCAACCAACTCAATCTCTTACATCCGCAGCAACAGGAGCCACTTTCCGTCGTCCTCCCCGCCCAACCACACCCACGCGGCGCTCAGGCCCGGCGGTCCCGCAGGGGTGCGGCCATGGATAGCGCGACTGGAGCAGGTATCCCCCCGCTTGCAAGTATGCGAAACGATCTGGGGTGCAGTTTGCCCGCTTGGGCGCTACGCTGCCCACTGCACTTTAACCACGCGCAGCACCTGTTCCGACCCGTTCGCTGTCGCTGCTTTTCTTTGGCCGCCTGTTCGCGCAATGCAGGGGTGGTTACTGGTATTGGTGATCACGCTTCCTTTGCTTCAACTCGTGTGCTAGGTTTCGGCGCCAGAGGTTGCGAAAAGGAAGGTGAGTAGAGACAGACAAAAGTAGGCTTTTATGTGTAATAAAACGCGCGCGCAAGTCAGATCAGGTGTTCAATGCCATGACTTGTGGTGTTTTCCTCACTTGTACCACATACATAGCCTACTTGCTTTCTTTCAGTAGTTTGCGTCACCATCATCAAGCTGAAGCCGTACTTTCTCCACGTAACGCTCCAGTTCCAAGGATGGCGCTCGCACGATGCCATCGCTAGGCACCATAGCCCCAGGAGGTGTCCTTGTTCGCATGAACCTGTCTACGTAAGGTACGACCGAGAGGCTGCTATGGCAATCCCAGACAATGTGTGCTTAGCAAAATGACATAACGGAGGTTATGTGGATCGAGTGTTTCTGTTCCTCGTGTTCGCACGGCCGGCCGAGCTGCGCCATGAACTCGGTGCTGCGAATGGTGTAACGATAATAAGGCCGCAAGGAAGAAAAAGGAACTGGGAAGAGGCCAGCAGTGGAATCAATGTCTCGCCGTGCTTGTCTCGTGTCCGCCTTGCATTGTATCTCTCTGCCTTGACATGTGAAATGCAAGAAAGATTTACTTTTTTTTTTGGCCTTTGCCTGATAACCAAGGCCGAAACCTTCGATGCTCCAAGGAATTGCGAATTTCTTTGGCGACAGAGCTGGGAGTAAAGCAATACCAACCTACATGATCGGTAATGCCCGCTCTCTATCGGGCGAAGGATCACGGTAACATGGTCGAACGGCAACTTGTGCATGCAGAGAGATCTAAGCGAGGAGGGCCAGATAGAGACAGACAGGCAGGCCACGCGTGGATGCGCAACCGCCAATCTCCACGGTCCGCTCCATCAACGCACACGCCCACAAAGCCACCACACACGCATGCCGCCTTGACACACGCGATTATCTGGCCCAAGGGAGAGAAGCAGGGTGGCACAGGCGGCCATATCATTCGCTCATTGCAGTAATTCGTTCCGTGGAAACTCCGTTAGGCATACCTAAAAGAGGCTTAACACAGCCCAATTTTTCCAATTTATTATACGCAACGCTAGTCGTCCTCGGCTCATATGGATAATCTCTCAACAGAGCGAAGTGGCAAAGAGCCTGCCCAGCAGGTTTTTTTTCTCACGCCGGTACTTGGGAAGGATGTGAGTGGATTCCGAGCACGTCGTGTGATGTCAGTCGAGTGCTTGTGCATGTGTGCCTATATCGTGATAGGGGATGGGGAATTGCCGGGCATTGATCAAAGGAGCTTGATGAGCTTCCACCCCTTGCACCCAAGTGAGAATGGTCATGGGGCCTGTACACGTAGTTGTGATGTTTTTGTCTCTTTGACAGCTTCTCACAAAGACTGTCCAATGTTTCAACATGCTAAGGTCTCTATTACTGGTCTATACGACCGACCGACATGGTATGCGTCGGTCTTACCACAATTATCTGATTATCCTCCAATTATCATCTACTATCCCTCTCACGTCATCCATAGGTACACAAAGCCAAGCGATTGTCGTAAGTTTGTTCATTATTCAACCAAAGTCAAAGGTGGATATTCGCATAACAGACGCCACATCGGCGAAAAGAGAAACAAAAAACGCCATCAAGTTCCATATGCAAGATCCGATGGTGACAAGATACATAACTAGTAGTGCCCCACTCCAGTGGCGACAAGACTATCGTGGTGGGAAATAGGGGGTGTAGCAGTCATAACAGCCATGGCCGGCGACTCCGGTTCTAAATCTGTCGCGGAGATATTACCGCGCGTGCCTCTGGGATCGCGACATGCTGTATTTCTTCAAATGCCCATGTTTTATTGGTAATGTATCCATGCATGAAAAATGGCTGGTGTGCTTCGTCATCTGACGAGGGGCGCAATCCCAGCTCCGAGGTGTGGAGAAACGACCAGAAAATAGAGAGAACGTGACGTATCTTGAGCGGTGTTCGGAAAACATGACGCGCAGCGCCGTCAGTGATGCTATATCGATATTAGGCCTAGTATTATGGCGGCGAACAAAGCCATAGTAGAAGTGCTGGATGGGGATGTGAGGCTCTGGGCGGCCGAGACTTGACCGCCACGGGCAAGCACTTGATCGTCATTACGGATGCAGCCTGTTTTGGCTGTAATTTCTGCAGGACAGACGACGCGTTTGAAGTTTGCGCTGTGTGACATTAGTCCATATGTCTATATAACTGGCATCGGAATATAGGGTACCTTGGGTATGATGCATCTTTGAACCAATCAAATCGGAACTGGCATCCAGCTCTCAGGTTCTCGGGTAGGTTTTCACAGTCGTCAAGGGAGCGGACACCTTCCATGTTTTGTCCGAAGACGGATTGGTCTACGCCATACTGCTTGGCGCATGCATTTGTTGATGTTGTGTTGCCACCAGGAATCTGAGAGACTCAGCTTTTGCAACCACATGGGCTTTGTGTTTTTAAGGGGGGAACTTACTGCAAGTGAGAAGCGGTTGGTAGCCGTCACATCGTAGGCGGTATTGGAGGCTTGGACAATCATGCTTTTCCCAATCAAAGGCTCACTCGTAAATGTCAACTGATAGCACGCGCAACACCAGGCATCCTCAATGCCGCCATGTGTGAGAGATGGTTCGATAAAGGCGCCAGCAAAGCCATAAGCCACGGTGTCGTTGATAGCCCATGGCTGTTGACCAGAGCATGAAAATGCAGTGCCTCCGTTACATCCGGTACCAGAAGCAGCATCGGTGGGCTTGTCATCGGCCGTACATGACTCGACAGGACTTGAAAAATCGGCCTTTCCGTTCCACCCGCACGAGGGCTTACAGCAATCCCAATACCGTGTTGTGATTGCTTCTCCAGTGTAGTTGAGAAACGCGGCTTGGGTGAGAAGGGCGAAGAGTTCCAGGGAAAGGGCGATGTTGCGAAGATGTTGCGACATCATCATAGTGTGGGGGGAGGGGGAGTTCTGGAGGTGGTATGTGTGGACAGGATTATAGCATGTTTCAATCACCGGAGAAAGTGATGTCGAGGTGCTACAAGTAGTATTTGAAGGATAGCAAGAAAGAGGGGTCCTCTTAGTCCGGCCACAAGGAGAAATTAAACTGCTTTTGATGCCACCAGGCCGAGAACATGAACCATAACGCTGTGCACCGTGCAGGGATCGGCGGAGCTTGGATACTGAAACGGGGTCCCCGAGTAGTGGCAGCTTAGAGGCCAGAGTGCCGCTGTCACACTTGCACGCGTCTTCGGAGCTAACGAGCAACCCGCCTCAACTTGCACCGTCTGACCGTTACCTGATAATTGAGCCCCCTGTACTCGGCGCGTGGTGGTGGTCAACTTCCCCCCTCCCCCCCCCCACAATTCCCAGCACAGCGTTGTCATCCCCGCAATTCGGCAATCGCGGAGCCTGCGCGCCCGGTATGCCTAAATGAAAACCGATAATACCGAGAATTACCGTGTCTGGGAGCGCACCGTTTTGCGAAACCCGAGCGGACGCGGAAAACTGGGGTTGCATGCACCACGTTGCTGTTGGTGACAGACGGTACGGTTTTGGCCTATGTCTCACCCTCCGCCTGACTTCCTGACTAATCTCGGCTATTGTCACTCCGCTAAACCAGCTACCTAAGCTCCGACTGCTGCGGCCATCTACTACCCTTCAAAGCAATAGTTGCGAAAGAGCCCCGAAGTTTACGAGCTTGGAGCACGTCGAGGCTAGAAAAAGGTTGATGCGGTCGAAACCCGATGCGCAAGCACCTACAACCCCAGCAGGTTCAGCTGCGTCGCGCCATTGCTTCTGCTGGACAGACGCCTAAAAATACATCCGATTGGCTGTGTTTCCAATTTACGTTTCCAATATTTTCCATCCGTGCCAGCTACGAGCACATCAAACGTAGCCCGGCTGAGTTAGTCGTCAGCTTCATACTGAGAATGATGCATAATAGCGCGTTTATCCTATACAACCTCTCGCTAATGCCGCTTACATGCGAAAGCGATTTCCTAGGTGCGATCGGACAAGGCCCGAAATGCTTGCTTGTGTGGAGTGCAGCCGTTCTATAAACAACGCCCATCATTCTGCCAAGCCTCTAGACAGCTCGACCGGCTGAATCATCACCCATCGCAAACACACACACACACACAACGGCTTCCCTCCTGCCCTGATCTTCAACTAATCCATAGCTTACTTGCCTCTATTGACCAGCCATATTATCCATCTCCCCCTCATTCTCCTCCCTTCATCACATCACATGCATACAACACACCGTACTTCACCGACATGCCTTTGTCTGCTCTGTCCAAGCTATATTGCCCAAACCATGGCCATAGTATCCCATCTAGTGGCCATTCTGCGCCTATACCACCCTTGTTTCTACTAATAGTCTACGGCCGACAAGCTCAAAATGCACAAACACATGACCACTTGTTCTTACTGTTTTGCTGCATCCATACTAGCAGAAGACATTGGGGTGGTTGTGGGTAAATCTTATTTCTTGGTAGAGTGGGGAGAGGAATGCATCCTGCAAGTATTGCCGTATGACAGCGGCTGGGATAAACAACAGGATAAAGTGTCATGCTAGTTCTGTCATTACTATTGATACATCGTTAACAAACGCAAATGTTCTTACTATGCCCCAGGATATGGTAGACCCCTATTCCCCTCAACGCCTTCAAATGGATGCAGAGTGTGTGTAATACCCCACACGTTACGACTTGGATTCATCCGCTACCAGTGCTTCGAGTCATTTTCTGACATCAGGCACTCATCTCATCAACTCACGCTCCGGGGTGTTCAGTCACTCCGCAGCATGCTCTCCACCAAATCTCCCAATGGCCCCCAGAAATCCTTGCTTCCACTGGCAAGACCGTGCTCATCAATAAACAGCACGTAATGCTTGAAGCTAGTATTGAGATGTGGTTCTAGGCCCAGCTCGATAATGACGGGGTAGTGGTGGCAATAGATGTGCGCGTAAACACGGTATAGTCGCTTGAACATGTTCCTGATGAGGGCCGCGAACGTCTTCGGAAAGGGAACGCCGATGCGCGAAGGAAACATGGCCTCATTGTCAACGTTAGACTGGACCCATGCCATCAGATGTTCGATGTATTCCGGTGCCGGCATCTTTGTGGGCTTCTTGTAGTTTTCCGAGTCTTGCCAGAGGTACTCAAACCTGAACCGTTAGAAACAGTCTGAAAGGAGTGAGCGTACATACTCATCCGTTGCCTTCATCTCTGGACAGCTCTGTGGCGAGCAGAACTCAGTAATGGAGCCGTAAAGCAGGTTAATCTGGTTGTAGAAGTCGACGACTGCCGTCGCGCGTCAGTCCCGCCTCTCTCCACACCCATCGGCGCTTTCATACCGTTTACAGCAAGCCATTCATCCTTATCCTCACCCTCGGGCAACTTGACGGCTTTCCTCAGGCTACCGCTACCAAGCGTGGCCTCGGCATACTGCTTGAGCTGCCAGCTGCTTGTGCCTCGGTTCCCTTTCGATGGTTTGAAGGGTGCGCGAGTCCGCGGGTTACTAAAAAAACGACAGTAAGCTTGTGCCCGTAAAGTACCCCTTGTTGCGGGGGATCTGTATATGTGCTCTTGTATCAGGACTGATGACGCTGCCCGTGTCTATTGACTTGCGACAATCCGGACCCGAGCCCAAAGCTGCATGATTATCCGTTTCTGCCAACCCAAGAGAAACGCCGCCACCAGGAAGGAGTTTGTATGAGTAGTTCGGTGTTGCTCGCGTCGGACTGTCTGGTGGGTCTGGTTGAGAGGAAGAGGCGAGGGTCATAGCCGGTGAGTCCAAGCCCGATCGTGGCATTCGCAAAGCCTCCCCAATTCTTTGCAGGGGACTCCGATATGCCTCGCCTGGCCTCACCAACCCCGGTTCCATGTCATTGCCCGCTATACCCCGCTCTTGAAAGTCTAGTTTGTCCATGTCCATCTTCAAGTTCATGCAGCTTTGGCTCTGGGCGAAAGTAAAAATGGGCCGGAGAGGCTCCGGTTTGGCAGGATACGAAGGATACAAACTAGTAGGCGAGGAGACGAACATTGTTGTGATGAAGTTGGACATGATTGCGACCGCGCTGGGTATATACAATCTGCCGCGTCGTGTACTATCTGGTGCGCATTCCAATGGTTAGCAGGGCAATAGTGAGGGGGGGTATGGAATGCGCGAACCTGCCGCCGAAAAGGCCAGAAAGCGACTGTTTGAGACGAGCGACAACAAATAAGAGGCCAAGAAGCAACACTGAAGAGTGCAGGAGTGTAGTCCACTGCTGTGTGTTGATGACGTTGATAGGTGCGGAAAGGACCGTGTTTAGACCCCGCAACAAAATAATCGGGCCACCGCTGCCCGCCGACTTCAACCACGCTAACACGTGATACTGCTAGCCTGATGGGCAACACATCCTGTCCGTATTGTTTTAGAGCCGACTTGACTTGATCATCTAACCAGAGAAAACTGGTTCAAACTTAATCTTGGCAATTATATCAAGCAAAATTTCGCATCAAAGGCACGAAATGGATGATATAGTCTTGTTTTGCATAGGTCTACTCTAGGTCTAAGGGTAATACTTCTTAGGGCTGCTACTTACCAGTAATAGCAGAGAGGCTTCCATCCATAATCACTTGCTGAAATAAGGGTCCTGCTCAAAGTAGTCGCCATGGTCCCGATCACGACCACGACCATTTCTACGACCATTCTGAGGCCTCGAATCCGACGCGCCATCTGCCATGGTCTCAAACTCATCCGGCTCATAGTCTTGCATGCCGGTCTTGATACGTTGAAGCTGGCCGCTTACGTAGTGATTGAGGCGGTCTTCCATCGCTGACTTTTGGTCAAGGGCCTCTTGATCCAGTATGCCGACCGAGTTCTTACGCCTCATTGGGCTTCCACTCTCCTCTTCTTCGCCGTTGGTCGAATTGTCGCCATAGTCACTTCGGAAGCCGATACTACGGCTAGTAGATGACCGGCGGAGAGTATGGCGCTTGGCTGCCTTACCTTTGACCGTGAATACATCGTCGAAGTAATGGTCTGCAGCACCTGTTGGCGTGCGAGGCGTTTGTGGGAGGCGGCAAGTCATGCTACAAATTGTCAGTCGAGGGTTCCCTTGCATCATTGTCTTCAAGCTTACCCAGTGTCGTGAATCATCTTTGCAATCAGACCGGTCCAGCCGCACTGATGCGTTGCTCCCAAACCACGGCCGGTATCACCGTCGAAGAATTCGTGATACCACATGTAGTCTTTCCAGTTTGGATCAAAGTCCAGCATCTCGTTGCCGTCGTTGATGGCTCTTCTACCGTCATCACCGCGAGCAAACAAATGCTGGAGACGATGTTGGATTTCCTCTGCAACGTGACCGAGATGCATGTAGTCGCCCGAGCCTGTTGGGCATTCCACCTTGAGGGTGTTACCGTAGTAGAGGTGGAAGCGCTGACAAGATTCGATGAGCAAGAAGTTCACGGCAAGCCAGATGGGGCCTCGCCAATTGCTGTTGCCACCGAAGAGGCCACTGTCTGAGTCACCGGGGAGGTAGGCGACTTCGTACTTCTGACCATTAACATCCATGGAATAAGGATGATCCTTGTGGTATTTCGATAGCGATCGGATACCGTGGTCAGCGAAGAACTCATCCTCATCCAACATTCTCTTCATAATCCGCTTCAGCCGGTCTTCGTTGACGAGTGACAGGAGCATGCGGTTTCCTTGACCGCGTTTCGATAGTGTATGGATGTTGCGCTTCGACTTCTCCGGACGGTTGGCAATGAACCATTCCACCCGCTTCTTGAAGCTGGGCAGTCGGTTCATGATTTCCGGCTCCAGCGTCATGGTCGAATATAGAGGAATGAGGCCTACCAGAGAACGAACGGGCATCTGGTGACTCCATGGTCCACCCCAAGAGATGGCATCATAGTAGAAGCCGTCCTCCTCATTCCACAGCGGCTTCGACTCGCCCTCGCTGCGAAATTGCATGGCGTCGCTGATCATGAGAAAGTGTTCGAAGAACTTGGAAGCCATGTCTTCGTAGATGCGACGTCTCTTGGCAAGCTCAAGGCAAATGTTCAGCATGTTCAAGCAATAGAACCCCATCCAACCGGTGCTGTCAGCTTGCTCAAGGACACCACCAGTTGGCAAAGGATCCGAACGGTTGAAGACACCAATGTTGTCGAGACCTAGGAAACCGCCCTCGAAGATGTTCTTTCCATCGGCATCTTTTCGGTTGACCCACCAAGTAAAGTTCAACAACAGCTTTTGGAAAACACGCTCGAGGCAATCGAAGTCCTCGCGCCCGTACATCTTGCGCTCAATCTTGAACACCCTGAACAGCGACCAGGCATGTACCGGAGGATTGACATCGCCAAAGTTCCATTCGTACGCTGGCAGCTGGCCGTTGGGGTGCATGTACCACTCGCGCGTGAAGAGGTCAAGCTGCTTCTTGGCGAAGTCGGGGTCGATCATGGCAAGGGTAATGCAGTGGAAAGCGCTATCCCAAGCAGCAAAGAAGGGGTATTCCCAGGAGTCAGGCATGGAGAGGATGTCATCCAAATACATGTGCTTCCACTCTTTGTTTCGTATAGCCTTCCGGCCAGGTGGAGGTGGCGGCATACCAGGGTCACCGTTCGCCCACTGGTCCCAAACAAAGTGGTAGTATTGTTTACACCACATCATACCAGAGAAGGCTTGACGCTGGATGTTGCGCAAATCGTCGGCAATTGGGAGGGGGCTTATTCGGTAGTAGAATTCGTCAGCCTCGGCACGGCGTTGCTCAATGATGTCGTCGAAGAGCTCTTCGTCAAGGTATCCCTCATTCTTGCGTGAGAAGCGGAAGCGGACTACAGCGCACTCGCCGGGTTGGACACCCTCGCCCTCGTCGAAAGCGTACCAGGCTGCACATTTGGTGCCAGTGTTGTCGGGGTTGACAGCATCCATCTCCTCATCTACGATGCGGCGATGGAAAGCGTCCTTGACATATGGAGTCTTGTTCTCAACCTTCCACAGTGCCTTGTAGTTTGTGTCATTGTCGGTAAAAAGCAGTTCTGGCTGGATATCGTCGCCACTTGGGCCTGTGCCAGGAGACGGCGAAAGCTGGAAGTAGCGTTCTCCGAGCTTGTGGTGTTTTGATTGAGCAGTCGTTGGGCCAACTTTTGTGATGGAAGGCTTTAAACTGGCATCTTCATGGCCCCATGCCCATGTATTCCTGAACCAACAGTGAGGCACTATGTGGAGTGGAGCCGGTTCTGGTCCGCGATTGTAGGCTGTGACTCGAAAGCACAGCTCTTCTGGGTCATCGGCCTCTTTAGCAGTCTCAATGAAGATATCCCAGTACCGATCGTCGTCGAAGACGCCAGTATCGACGAGGTTGTACTCCTTCTCGAGCCGTGTTCGCTTTCCGTTGGTCTTGATGAGGTCTTCGTAGGGGAACTTGCGCTGGGGCAGCTTGTAGAGGAATTTCATGTACGAGTGCTACAGCTAGAGTTAGCGGTGAAGCTTAGCAGAAGCCGACGATGACATACAGTTGGTGTATTGTCCAGATGGAAATGGCATTCCTTGAGTGACTCGCCGTGGTTGCCCTGTGGATTCGACAGACCGAACAAGCGCTCCTTCAAGAAGTCACTGCGTACAAGTCAGCATGTCTCAGTGTGGCCATTGAGGGGCAAGCCTACTCCTTCTCATTCCAGAAAGCAAAGGCGATGTTCTGGAAACCGTGTGAGTCGGACACGCCAGCAATGCCGTCCTCGCCCCAGCGGAAGGCGCGTGACCGTGCCATGTCGTGCGTGAAATCTAAAGGCCATTAGCAGAGTCAATGGCAATGATGAAGACCACTTACGGCTCCAGGCATCTCCATCGTGGCTGCACAGGTTTGTTAGCAAGGCACAATGTCAATATCAGACAGGAAGAACGCTCACGAGTAATCTTCACGAACTGTATGTGTGTTAGCCTGAGCCATGTGAAGTAAGCTTGGAGAGGGAGACTGACCTGTTGCCCACTGTCGTTCGGCAACGTAGGGCCCCCATCGCTTCCAGTAAGCGGTGCGTTCGCGGTCTTGCTTGAGACGCTTTTCCTCTTCGCAGAGGTATTCCTGATTCTCAATGAGAACCATTGTGATTGTGTGAGCCGATGTGGTGTCGGAGGCGTGCTACAAGACAAGGAGGGAGTGAGTGTTGGCTGACGGCGCGAGGAGCGGTGTCGAGATAAAGGTTCCCTGCAGGCAGTATGGAGCAAAGAATGGGGTAGTTGGGGCAGCCAAGATGTTAGAGAATAGTCAGGCGGGGTAGTGTATGTGTATGCACAGATGGAAGAAGGACGATCAGTGAGGATGTTTTATAATGAAAGAAGAGATGGGACGTCCAGTTTTTTTTGGTCGTGTGGGTGCCGTGGGTTGTAGCTACCTGTCGGCTCCCGCGAACTATGGCTGCAGGAACTCGCGATGCATCATGGCAACCGTGCATGGCGGGACTTATCAAGAGCGATTGACTTAAACCAAGACGAGTATAACGGCTCGGGCTTCCCAGTTTCAGTCCCATGTCGGACGAGCCGCAGTAAATTGGCCAGAAGCTTGAACTGGCAGCGTCACGCGTTTGTCGCGCTGCGGGCGAGAGCATTTTCTCAGCGGTGCGCGAAAGTGTTGAGCGCGCTTGCTGCCCCGCGACGCCAACCTTGGGAACAAGCAACAGCGTCACCGACGTTAGTGTCGGCCCTTCTCCACTGCCCTATCGTCGATCGTACTGGCCAGCCTCCAAACTGGGTCCGAGGCTCTGCCTGGGGTGTGGAGTCGTGACAACGGTCCCCGGCCACTAGCCAAAGTAGCATATGCACATGTATCTATTCGGCCCATGGCATTTGTTACTATGGCCTATCTTGCTTGCCCGCCCGCCCTGGTGCACGACAGTTGACAGGTGATGCTGCATATCGCATCTCGCGTTTTGGCCAACGCCAGTTCACGTGACATGACCATCACTTATGCAACAATACCTGTACATGGTCACAGAGAGAAGTCATCGCAAATCATGAGCTGTGCATTGGGTATGAAGCCGTTGGTCAACCTTGGTTGCCGTTGGCTTGCTAAATGCCTCCTTGACGAAACGTCTCAACCGACATCTGCAGTACCTATGTAGGTATATACATCAATCTATGGAAAGAAACGTTTCCAAAAGTACACGGCTATTCCTCTGCCTTAGATCCTGTCTCCTCCTCTGCCTCAGACCATGTCTCCTCCTCACATCGAATGTGATTATGGCCCTCCAGGCCGCACTCGTAGCACTGAAGTCCAGCTTTGATGTACTTGACAGGCACAGGCTGACGACCATCCAAGATGCGTGCCGGCGCCGTTTCTTCCTGCAAGAATTCCTCCAACGAGCTTTGCACACTGCTACGGGTCCACCTGATGATCTGGCAAGTCTCTCTCCTCTTGTTATACCCAGCAAGGTGCTCTGGGGGTTGCGGGCTACTGTATACCGGCATCAGGCGGTTCAAGTCGGCAAGATTGGCAGACGCCAGGCCGTCGCCCAATTCAACAACTGCTTTGAAGTCGTCCACATCAATAATGTTCCATGACGCCAACCGACTCTCGTCCCAGAGCATCAGGCCCAAATACCAGGACAGATCCCTGTAGCGACGCCGATTCGGTATGGAGTCTCCGTCAGTCGATGCGTACAGTGTCCAACCAGGACTGAGAAGCTGTGGAGTGTACGACAAGACGTCTAATGAGGGCAATTCGTTGTTCGTCACCGCACTCCAGGGCCACAGGGTACTGGTGGAATAGCCGTTGTAATGAGTTCTAGCAGCTAAAGTAAAGCTTGGGCCACTCCCATGAAACCAATCCAACCGGTGGTTTTGATAGTACTTCGAATTATGGAAACAATCCAACTTGTCCAACGGAGCGTTAATGGCTGTGTAGAACGTGAGTGACCGAGAGCCGACTGCATGACTTGCGGGCAAGTACTCGTCGATGCTAGCGGCCTGTTCAACTTGCCATGGCTCAATGTTTCTCATGAAGCTGGCTACAAATTCGGGGTCGTCTGTCCAACCAAAATGTGGGAACTTTTTTCGGATCCAGTAGTAGATCTTGTTCAGGAGAAGGGCGCATAGCATACGTGTGTGCTCGGTCGTGGACATGACAATGGGTTTGGTCACCACATGCGGATGCACAATAGCTTCCGTTGCATCGGCCATATCTTGGGCCACACACTCAGCGGCTTGAGTCACTTCCTCATAGACGGCTGTCAGAGTTCGGATGCTTTCCAATGGTTTGTCCATGGACGACGTATTCTGCGGGAGTGTGGCTGCCCATTCGTGTAGGCTATTAGAGTGCAGAACACGGAGAGTCAAATCGGCATCGAGCTTGTAGTCTTCATTACTGTGGAACTTCCAGACAGTGCGTAGAAGATGGCCAAGTGGCGAAGGCATGTCTGCAAACATGTCCCGGATGGTCGTCTTTGGGTACCGGAGGAACATGCTTCTGAGGCTCGAGCTGACCTCCAAAAGCCTTCTGATTGAGGTCAAGTCGCACTTGCTGAGGACCTGGTACATATTAGTTGTCTGTACCTGCCCTGCAGGATGCAGTGAGTCAGACGAGAAGCTGCAATTCCGGAGGCAGTCGTGCGAGATGGAAACTGGGGTTAGTCTGTCGTTGCAGGCGACGCTTTGCCGTCTGCGCAGCGCTGCGCGTCATGGTGTTGTTGATGGCCAAGGACGGTTCAGGTGGAGGAGAATGGTAGCCAGGTACCTAGTTACCGTAGCTACTACTAGGTACCCGTCTAGAGGTACCACAGCCGCTAGCGCCTTCTCCGGCAGATCTTCGGGCCGTCCCCCTCCCCCAATGATGCTCGCTCAGGTACGCGGAAGCTCAGCCAAGCCGAACGCAACACGTCGCTACAGTTGAACACGCTCACGCTTCCTCACGCAAAATGCTCGTCTCTCTCACAGTCGGCAAGGTTGATGCCGGAGTGGCCGTGCTGCTGACGGAAGACAAGCGTCTGGTCAGTCTTCCAATGCCCACCAGCGCTCAACACACCCCAGGCGCATGCTTGTGATTCACTTTGGCTGACATGAAATCAGATTGAGTTCCCCTCGATATTGCTTCCACCAGATATATCTTCCGGGTCTATGGTAGACATTGATGTCGCACGCAACTACAAAGCCGAAGCCGACGCACAGAAAGCCTTCCATGAGCTCCAGTCTGAGATCTTCCGCACCTTTGGCCAGCGTACGCCTTCAGCACCCATTCTCAAATGTCGCAATGCCACACAAACCTCAGTAGTGCTCGAGTGGGAGCCCATAGATATCGCGACTGCCGAACTCCGCAGCCTGACGCTATATCGCAATGGTAACAAGGCGGGCACAATACCCAAGCCTAGCGACCAACACAGCACAAAGCTGAGCGGCCTGGCAGTGGACACTGAATACGAGTTCCACTTGGTCCTTAAAACCAGTGCTGGCACATTCAGCAGCGAGAAACTGAAGGTACATACGCACAAGATGACGGATCTGTCTGGTATCACAATCACACCCGGCCACATGCCCGCCTCACTTCGAGAATCGCTGCAGCGATCTGTAGAACGAATCGGCGCTAAGATTTCGGATAACGTACGCATCGATACAACACACTTTGTGTGCACTGAAGGCAGAGGGCCGTCTTGGGAGAAGGCAGTGGAGAACAACATTCCTGTCGTGGTACCCGACTGGGTCATAGGATGCGAGAGAGAGGGCAGAATCGTCGGTGTAAGGAGCTACTACTTGAATGCAGATCCCAGATTACGGAACGTTGGTCCCGGAGCGTCCCAGCAACCGCCTCAGCAGTCCCAGCAGCAGCCACCACAGCAGCAGCAGCAACCCAGAAGTCCACTGATGAGCCCAAGGACCGAAGTCACACCCCCCACACCTGAACGCCTGACGCATGACCGCAATGCAAACGGCGGAGCGCCTCCCCCACCACCAAAGGACGATGTGAGCTCGAGAGTAGCTCAGTAGAGCCGAAGAAGCAGACAGACGAGCAGAAAGCGAGAGTGAGGATGACAGGCCATATTCTGAAAAGGAAAACGAGGGGATAGCGAGGACGAAGATTCGGAACCTGAGCCAAGCGATGGGAAGGCCATGGAGGCAGGTCTACCACAAAGATCCAAACCAGGGCAGGCATCAGCTGAGGATGATGAAGACGGAGCGAGTTTCCAAGAAGTTCAGCTCTAAAGAATAGGGAGGAAGATGCGATGGCTTTGGCAGCATTGCCACGGAGGGTTAAGTGGAACAGAGATACTCGGACCTTGTTCTCAGTTAATCGAGTATCACTCTCTGCGTCTTCCGCTCAAGCTGAATACAGCCATGCGATCAGCCTGAACCTTGGTTCCAGCCAAGCTTATAGCTATATGTTGTAATGATACCGTTTTTACGGGAAGAAGTAGTAGTATTCAACCGAGATCCTTGATAGTCCGTTCGCGTCTTGTGAAGATACTACGTACCCCGAGCTAGGCCCGTTCTTAGCTACTACACATCTCCATCAACTCACATCAAGTAGCACCAGGTACATTCCATACCCTCGCAAAATCGTCATGCTGCCAATCCACGACTCTCTCATACTCCAGACTCAAACTCATATACTCTGCAACCGCCTCTCCATAGACGCGGCTCACAAAGGCATACATTGCATCTGTACCCGCGGAAACCCCGCTACTAGTAAACACATTACCATGTTCAACCCAGCGGGCTGTCGGTACCCATGTCACATTCGGCCCTGTAGATGTTGCCCACGCCCAACTGCGCTTGTTCGTGGTGGCGCGTTTATCATCGATGACGCCCGCGCGCGAAAGAATAGTAGCGCCAGTGCAGATGGAGATTATGTATTTGAGCTTGAGGCGATTTTAGTGGGTGTGGAGACATGAGATTGGGGTTAGAGTTTCCTTCCTACCTTTGGATACGTCAGTTTGACAAAGTCAATTTCTGCACTCATATCTCTGCGGGTTCCGCCTCCGCCCGGTACGACAAGGACATCGATGTCGCCTTTGCTTGTTGAATCTCCCTCTTGGTCTTTTTCACGGCCTGTTAGGTAGTCTGCAAAGGTAGTCGTTGGTACAATTTCCTGTCCAAAGCCACCGGTCATCATTGCGCTTGTCACTGGTGCCATGGTCTTGCTGAGGACAGAAAGGTGCGGTGTCTGGGTCATATTGCTGTAGAGCATGAAGAGTGAGTTTAGGAGGTCCATTGGACCGAAGATGTCAAGGGCTTGGTAGTGAGGGAAGATGAGAAGGCCATAGTGGGTGGGCAGGGTGGAGGTGTTGGTTATCGGTGGTTGGGATGGCGCGCATAGAGATGGTTGGAAGGCCAGGAGGGTTGGGAAGAGAGATGAGTATCGCATGTTGAAGATCACTCACTCTGAGTTGTTGGAGTGAGGTGTTTCAATGATAGGGAAGAATGTCCTTATTGTTGGAGGGTTGGATACTAGTTTTATACTCAAGAAATTGGCCCAACACTACCTTCACTTCAAGCTGACAGATCTGTACTCCGAAGTCAGAGTAATATATTCTGCTCGCTTGTGCTCGACTTGACACGCCCACCAGCTTTACCAAGAGTAATCGAATTGTGGAACGGCCGAAACAACAAGTCACGTTCAACATGTGGATTAACAGTACAGCAAGGCGTCCATCGGATTTGAGAAGGTTTGAGCAGCTTATATATAGCCGACCCGCCTACCGATGACTGCATATGCTCAATAACATATCGATGTTCTTGTGCAGTACACATCGGCTGGGCGTTGGGGCATAATAGATTGCGATGGAGGGGTAAATGCAGGATACATGTCCAAAATATGGGATTTAGCCTTCAAGTCTCGAATCAGATCTTCGGTGCATTTATATGTTCCCCGATTAATGTGTATGGATGCGGTTCTGTTGTGCTTTTTCTTGGATCCCATTGCACCTTCCCGGCGTACAGGCATCGGCAACAAGGAGCTCTTGCCGACATGAGTAGTGCCGCGCTAGGCGACACAACTATGGATACTTTACTTTCCTTATGCTATTACTATGCCTCTATTGGCAATGAAACTCGACTGCTGACTTGAAATCACGTGCTTATCGCCGGTTGAGGCTGGCAATGACGTGTCCATGAAGCTGCAGCGTGGATTAAAACCAAGGTGTGAATGCGAAATATGCAAGATTGAGACCAGACTGGGAAAGAGACGGTCTGTGATGAAGGGCTTTCCATGTACAAAGTGCGGTTAGACGCGTCGAGAGACGGCCATGTCACGCCAAGCGAACGGGTTCCTGCGATTATGACGTACTCTAGCTGCGCGTGATGCCAGCCGCAGCCTGAAATCTTCATTCCGAGCTGCATCCCATCGCACGCCACAGCTCAGAGTCGATTACTCTATTAAGCTGAGCGTCGATGTATTTGAAGCCCCACTGACTCACACTGCCTCGACGAGGTAGCAACAAAGCTACAATGCCCTCAAGACGACCCGCCATCGAGACGCGCCGGTCAACACTCCACTACGAGACCTTCCCAACCATCCCCCCTAGAAGTCGCGGTCATCCTCCATCCAACTCACCAGCTCGCAATGATGGCACTCGTTCAGAAGACAGTCGCACCCATCGCGAGTCGCCCCTGCCGACGCGCCAGCTTATTGTGCTGGCCGTCATAGCGCTAGCAGAACAGACGGCACTCAACTCGATAAGCCCATACCTCCCGGAGATGACCAAGTCTTTCCCCGAGGTAAAAGACGGCCAGACAGGACTATATGTTGGGCTGATTGCCTCGTCGTTCGCGTTGGCGCAATTCACCACAAACTTCTTCTGGGGCTGGTTGTCAGACAAGATCGGACGGAAACCAGTCATCATAATGGGAACCTTCCTGACCATGTGCTGCTTCCTGGCATTTGGCTTCTGCAGAGAACTATGGCAGGCCATACTTGTGCAGGCGCTCATGGGCTTTGTCAACGGCAACTCGGGCGTTGTGTCGACATGCTTGGGCGAGATCACGGATCGAAGCAACCAGTCGCGCGCCTTCACCTACCTCCCCGTCGTCTATGGCATCGGTGGCATCACTGGGCCTATCGTGGGCGGACTCTTGGTCATGTACAAGAATCCTTTCGCTAACAGTGAAGCGAACCCATACCCGTACCTCCTCCCCAACCTCTTTTCGGCCCTCGTCCTCGCGATAGACCTGGTAGTGTGCATGCTCTTCTTGGAAGAGAGTTTGGAAGAGGCAAAGAATCTGCCGCCATTAGGCAAGAGGCTAGGAAATCTGTTTTCGTGGATGTGGCAGTTTACAAGCTCGTCACGACCGACCTACGTGCGCCGCCTGTTTGGCAAAAAGAGCGATGATGCACAAAACATGGATGGTGCAGAGGACGATCTGGATGATGATGCGTCAGATAGCTCAGGCGAGTCTGCGCCTACGCTCTTCCCGCATACCAGCGGCGAAGAGCTCTCACGCAAGGAAATCCTGAACCGGGATACTATCCTGCTTTTAGTGACTTACTTCATATTCCAGTTGGCGAATATCTCGTACAACTCTCTATACCCTATATTTGCTGAAGAGCAGCCACCTACCGGACGTGGCTTAAAACCCGAGGCTGTCGGGTTGTCCTTGTCCTTCGCAGGTGCTATCACAATACTGTTCCAAGTAGGCATATTTGGCAGGCTCAGAGGCAAGCTTGGCAACAAGATGGCTTACAGAGTCAGCCTAGGCTTGTTCATTGCAGCCTTCGGACTCATGCCTTGGGTAGGTTACAAGGAGAGCCAGCCATACAAGGGCATTGGCTCAGGTGCTGGCTGGTTGTGGTTTGAGCTTGGCGTAGTGCTGGTGATCAAAACGATTGCAGGTGTCGGCGGCCTGACAGCTGCACTTCTTATGGTGAGTTATCGCCCTTCAAGGCTGTTGTAACTCTACAGATGCTAACTATGTATAGATCACGAACTCGGCACCGAACCACAACGTCCTCGGAACTCTCAATGGACTTGCCCAGACTCTCTCCGCCGCCGGTCGCGCAGCTGGTCCCTTCGTTTCGGGCTCACTTTTCACAGCAGCCACCAAGATCAAGCCCAAAGGTGAAGCTTTACCATTCGGCATCTTCGCTGGCATCGCGCTTATAGGCTTCCTTTTGAGCTTCGGCATTCGTGGAGAAGGCCTTGAAGCAGAGGGATGGAGCGACGAAGAAGAAGAAGAGGACGAAGAGGAGGAGGTTGGCGACGACCTGAACGAACGTACGGGTCTCATACGGAAATAGACCAAGAAGAACGTGTACATAGCATAGTACGGCTGCATGGCATAAGCATCCTCTGGACCTGGACGGCCAGCATGGCGTTTGTGAGGCGTTTCTGTACAGGCTGAGTCTACAGCTGATACCCGTTTATCAAGGAAAAAAAGAAAAACATATGCATGACAGTCCACATTTGAGATGCTGTGATAGTCTAGGCCTCCTCCGAACGCAGACCAGTGGTGGGGTGTTAGGGCTCTAAGTTAAGCCCCCGCACCGAGTGTCACTACGCCACTTTACGGAAACATTCCAGCGGTCGAAGAACACTCCGTTACCCGTGGATGCTTAGCGCGCTCCGGATGTTGCGACTGATGGAAACCCCGTATCATTATCGCCAACAAATATGACGCCGTCCAAGGCCGCAAGGCGAAGCGACAGACCCGAGTGGTTCCGCGCAAACCAGATTCAAGCTTGGCATCATGATCCTCACCAAGAAAGTCGTAAGCTGGCTGCTGACAGCACATGCCTCCCGTACACGGTTGCTCCCGCCCACAGTAGCGGATATTAAGTTCTGGTGATCTGTCCGGCTTGTGTTCACGGCTTAGCATGCGCTCCTATAACCAGGTAATACATTTTAATTGGGAAGGGTGAGAAGAGCCGTCGAGGAAATGATGCGGGTATTAGAAGAACGTGATATTGGTAAAACGCCGGCTGAATGAAGGCTTGACGGACGTTGGACGTTTGGTCGTGACAATGGATGAAAGAGAAGTGTAGGACTAGGTGATAGAATTTGCTGAGTTGGCCGCTGCAGTCAGGAGATTGATGTTTAGATGAGTACCACTGTAGCAACTTTCCTCCCCCATATCAGATACAACCTCATGGTCCATGCCACACTACGTTGTTTATTTTTACGATACGGCTAGCGTGATAGGCCCTCCGCCACGAATGCCACGCTTGCTCCGCCGGCGGCCTACCTCCGGAGCTTCTCTCCTGGCTGAGCTGATTCTCAACCAGGCCTACACCGTCTAATTTCGCACGGCAGGTCGCCAAGCACGACGTGTCGGAACGACTGGACGAAAAAACGTCCAGACGTCGTATTCTCTGTACCCCATCGACTGTGCTTTCCGCATGCACATTGGCGTGGTCAGCAATTACACTGCTGGCGGTGCTCCTCAAACGGACCCGCAGAAACCTTGGCGATGAAAGCTTCCTTAGCCTTAGCATCTCTCAGCCTCACACAAAGGCTACGTTTTAGGTCGGCACGGACAGGTGCGACAAGCCACTACGCCGTGGAAATGGTACCGTTGCTAGCTACCTGGAGTAGGGTCCGTGTTGCTGGACTCAGAGCTCCGCCCCAACTAAGATGGAACATGCACCATAGCCCTCGTCGGGTAACTTGGCTTCGTGTGGGGACATACGAGCTGATCTGCATAAGAATCTCGGTAGGGCCGCCCGACGGTTGATGGCGCCTTGGTGTGCTCTTTCCAATCTTGGGCTTCGTGCTTTCCATTTATTCCCTTATTTCCCTGCTTCTCCGTCATCGTTGTCATTAGGATTGCAACTATGGGTTTCAGTTTCCATGGCCACAGACGCGATGTCGACGCTGAGAAGCATCTCAGACGGCTGCACAAGACAACACCATTCATCGAATCCCCGCTAGTCGGTGCCGATCACCACAACCTGGTCTTCTCTCAACGACACGAGGCTAATAGCGTTGAACTCTTTTTCGACTTGTTCTTCGTTGCAAACTTGGCAACGTTCACGTCATACCACTCTATTACCGATGGCGACTACCTGCTTGGATACATTGGCTTCTTTGGCATCTTATGGTCCTGCTGGTTCCAGATTACGCTCCACGATGTACGATTTGCTCGAGACTCGTTGTATGAGCGTGCATGCAAGACGATTCAGTTTATCGTCTTTGTTGGCCTGGCACTAGTCGGGAGTCAATTCAACCCAGCAAGTAAGAAGGGAAAGATGAATAGCACCGTGAGTTTTTCTAGAGTAAACAAGACTACTAATGTACTAACCTGCACAGAACTTTCGTATCTTATGCTACACGTTGGTCATAAGCCGCGGCCTTCTCGCCATTCAGTACCTCGTTGTTCTCTTCTTCACTTGGAGAGCAAAATACTCAAAGCTATTCCTGCCTTTGCTCCTCATGTTTGTCATCTACGCAGTCAGCATGGCTGCCTTTGCTGGTATGACACCGGCCTTCAGCGTCAACCTCGAAGTCAACAACAAACGACGACTTGTTTACCTTGTCTGGTATGTTGTCATGGTACTGGAGGCTATCGCGGTTATTACGATCTCTTGCTTCTGGCGGATGCTCAGCTTCAAGAAGACGCACTTGATGGAGCGCATGAGCTTGCTTACGATTATCGTCATTGGTGAAGGTGCGATTGGCGTTACCAAAACTGTCAGCAGAATCATGGGGAAGCACGGACTGGAAGTCGAAGGCTGCTTCTTGATCATGTGCATCATCGTTATCCTGGTGCTGATCTGGGCTTTGTGAGTTACCTGGAGAAATACTGACAAACATTCTTTAAACTAACGGCGTTGCAAGATACTTTGACAATTTCCCTCATGGCCACTACGGAACCATCCGCCAACAGATTTGGAGTCTTCTACACTTCCCATTCCAACTCGGAATTGTGGGCATCGTGGAAGGTTCGCAGCAAATTGCTCTAGCCCGCTTCATAACCAAGAATGCTCGAAAAATCACCAATACCATTGTGAAGCACTGCCAGAAAGAGAACCTTGACGGAGAGAAGTTGCAGGACAGTCTGATGGACCTGCTAGAATACTTTCAGCTCAATCAGAAGGCTGAGACCCGAGACTATTTCGTCAATGCGCGGTCGGCTATCTGGGCCATTGGAAATTCCACCGGTATATGCTCCCCTGAGAAAGCTGCTTCCTATACTGCGGGTGACGATGCGGAGAATAGTACCTGGCCTAAGGCTCTCCAGCAAGTAAGCTCCAGCATAAGTAACGGCATGTACACCGGTCTTGGCATAAAACTCCCCGTGGACAAGCTCGAGAAGTACAGTCCACTCGAAGTTGGACTAGGGGCCTGGAGGCTTGTGTATCTGTACTCATGGTCTTCGTTTTGTCTCATCATGATCTGCCTGATCTTATTCCTATTTCTCATCCGCAGGCACAAGGCTGACCTCTTCGACTACACGTCCATTATCTCGCGGTCCCTTGCTCTTGGGGTCGGAGGGGCCATGTTGGCGATCATGGCCGACAATGCCAGACTCTACGCTGCCATCGAATCGCCGGCCCTCCTACCTATCATCGTAGTCCTCCTGTTTTCGATACTAGTCGTCGACAAGATAAGCGTTCTCTATTGCAACAAACAACTCCAAAAGAGCAATGTGCAATACGCGTTGGAGTATGAAGAGCATGGACATCACAACCACGGACACCATGGGGACCCCGAACATGACAGCCCGAAAATGCTTGGGTCTGGACATCACAAGGGTCCGTTGCATAGCCATGCGTCGCATAGCTCAATCGCGGGGTCAGAAGAGATGCTCAAAGCGACACGGTGGAGCGCGCAACCGGAGGATATGAGGCCGCTCACAGCTCATAGCACAGGCTACCACCCGCCACATCAGGAATACGCCTTGGAGCCACTAGCAAGTCCCGCACTCACTGTACCAAGCCCTGATCTGGAGGTCCACACTGCATATGTGGGTAACGCACCTGGTGGATATGCTCCTGTGAGCACGGGGCACACAGGGGTATAGTCGTTTCCTTGATTCTCTAACAATGTTGGTGTTTGACCAACCTATACTTTCTTTCAGTCATGGTCATTTAGCAAGCGCGGCGTTTGTTATTGTTTAGAGGGCGAATAATTTTTTAGGATATCTGCAGCCGGACACGCAACAAAGATTGAGCATCATAGCATGGCGTATACTTTTCTACAATTCTTCTTTAGGTTAGCGACAGTAAGATCTCTTTCTCTCAATGATAAAGCTTCTACCCCTTACTTAACCCTACCCATACCACTATCATTGCTTGACTTAGGATGCACGACACAGGCATGCGGCATAAACGACCAAACATCAAAGCCAGATGATGTCACACTATCTTCGGGCCCGAAAAATCGTCTGCGAGTCAAAGGTTATCGCGGCACAACGAAGATATGTTGTGTCGGGGCCGGTTGTAGAGGCCGTGTGGCCAACAACCAACACCAACACGACCAGTCATAGTTTCCAACAGAATCTGTCACGCTGAGCATCTTCCGTTCGCGGCGCAGAGCATACCCTGCGTACATTGGAATTCAGTCATGGCAGATAAGTGCGCTGTGGCTCATGTTGCAAGTTCAAGCAGAGTAGCAATACCCGTCTACCCTTACATTTTTCGCCGCATCTATCTCTGTGGCCACGACGACGAGTTTGTTCAGGTCATCAAGCCAATTGGTCAGAACAAAGTTGTGCATATATTCATTTCACCCGATCGACTCAAAGAGGCAGAGGGCAGGCTTGGATACATGCTCGCACAGTATCGAGAGTGCGCGAGCGAGTTACGTCAAGAGCATCAGAACATGCAACAAGGTGGGAGAAAAACACGGTACCAACCGATTGATGCCTATCAAGAGGAGATGATACGCGTTGATCGCGGATTTCTAAGGGAGGCTCGGACTGGTCTCGAGGCTGCACTGAAGCAGTTGGATCAAGTCAGCTGCTGTGGCGCAGAATACGAGGAGAGCATGTCGATACCCAAGGAGGTGGCTGGTGATGATGATTCCGTCAAGGTGGTAAGGTTTCTCGATGGTCGTCGCGTGGTTGACTCGCCCTTGCCCTCACCAGCACTACCATCAAGGCCGACCACCGAGGGCTTTGACAGAATCGACTCCCTCAACAACGGCGAGGCCGAAAGTGAGAGTGGCTGGTCAGATTACGATGTACATTGGGACGAGCGCCGGCGGAAAGACAGCGCTTTCGAAGTCAGCGCACAGCCCGACCCGGCCAAGGATGATGCATCGACAGCTGTGCCGGTAAATGAGGCTGCTGAGCAACAAGAACCCAACGGTGATGGTTATAGCCGGGACCCGTGTACCCCAGTCGTCATTACCTTCGGTCCGAAAAAGGACCTAGATTGGCTCCGCTTCTCGTATCTGATCCGCAATGACCAGCTGAGCTTTGACGACATTGTCGCACTTGTAACCCGGTCTTTCCCAGACGACAACACTTCTAAATTTAAAGAAGATGTGCGGCAAAGATCTTCGGTAGTGGAGACACCAGATTCGGGCGACATAGCGTTGAGCGTGCCTATATGTGAGCCGGGAAGCATTCAGAAGATTGCTACATGCAACGTGTCACCTCTGGAGGAACAGCCACCTGCGTTTACATTTGGGCATGTCGATGGCGTAACAATTAGAAGGGTGACATGCTCTGAAATAAGAGACGATGGCAGCGTGCATTACTGCAAGCCAGCTCCTCTGCAGGCCCAAACAGAGGTTGGTCAAACAAGAAGTAGGGAAGTACTGGGTAAGCCCGTAAGGGATACCTATGGAAACGAGAGGGAAGCAGTTTACTCTTGCTTCTCATCGGACTCATCTATTTTCACAATCGACCATACCTCGAAATTCTCGAGTCCAGTGAACAAGACAAGATCGCCAACAGCAAGCTGGTGGAAGACGAAGCGGAAGAGGGAAGGCACATCCCAAGATCTATCTACCCTTCCATCTTCCCCTACAGTCCCACCAAAAGACCACGCCGCCCGCCTCTGGCAGCGCATGAGCAAAAGCACACTGAAACTTCACCATACCACCCACAAGCTCGAGCGCAAATCACATTCCACACTCTCCTGTTCGTCCGAGAGGAAAAGTCCAAGGCATTCTAGTGTCAGCAGCCACGTACCTGCACACCACAGTAGCGACTGCCACCCCACCTACAGAAAGGAAAGTGCCAGTCTACCTGTAAAGTCAGACCACCAACAACATGCGTCTCCCCATATTCTCAGCTCCATGAGACACCCCTCCCGCCCTCGCTTTAGTGATAGCCTCAAAAGCAGCGGTAATCGCAAGACGCACAGAGGCAATCGTAGTTCTACTAGATCAGCACCTCCACGCCCCAGAAGCAGTCACGCTACAAAGGTATCTTCACGCAGTCTTCACCAGCCGTACAAGCCTAGTCCGTTGAAGAAAGTGACACGAGTAACGTCACTGGATCTCAACAAGGGTCTGCCGCCACTGCCGCCGGAAAGTCTACGGATCACGCATAAGGCGGCCACGGTGACGCTTAGGGAAATTGCGGGTGCGAGGAAGGTTGCTATTTGAAACGTAGTCAATGAGTATGTAGGCGAGATGGCGAGGGCGTATTAATGATTGGCACAGTATGAGATATATGCACATCATTGCTATCGAAGCTGCATTTGATTGTGTTGATTGCATTATCATGTCTTTAGACAATTAGGCATAAGCCAACCTCTCCTCTGTCCACTCAGGCCGTAGATATTCAGAATCAAACCTTGAGCTCCAACTGCTCTCAACCGCATATTCTTGCACGAACTCCACGTCAACCTTCGCACCGTCATTTCCCTGTGCCCACACACTCAGTCCAATCACGTTGTCCCCCGCATAGTTGAGGATACCCGGCGGAATCGGGAACTTGACCTCGTTGCCGACGTAAGGGTTGAAGCGCGCATACTGGTAGCCGTTGACGAAGAGCTGAACACGAACAGTTTTGGGACCTGTGGCGTTGAGAATAAAAGCAAAGGAAGCGTCAACATCTTCGGGGATGTCGAGAGGGAATGTTGTACGATAGAACTTGATGTCCGCGCCAGAGAAGCCGGTGGATGGCGAAGCAGAGGCCCAGTCGCAGTCGGAGAAGCCGGATAGGTGCCACCCAAGACGTTCGGCTGTGAGACCGCCTTCCGCAAGAGGTCCGCGTACAGGATCTAGCTGGATGTTCTCGCCACCAGCTTCACCTGCAATTTTCCAAGACGTGAAGTCTGCGCCGTCGAGAGTAGCGCGGAGAATACCGCGGGGGTCGGTAGCACCACCCCGCAGATCGTGACCAGTGTTATCTTGGGCGATAAGCAAAACGTTTGTGCCGTTTGCGTGTACAGTTGCGTTCGCAAACGATAACGTCATGTTACCGACGCCTAGAGTTGTGTTGCCTAACCACGATCCAACTAGATCGCCGTTCAGCCATGCGCTCCAACCAAAGGCGAGACCCCCTTGCACAGAGAGCTGGGCACCCGTAGCTGATCCTTCAAAGTAACCTCGGAAGAGGTGGAAGCTGTTGTGAAAGCCATATTCGTCAACATATAGAACGGGTAGTGTATCGGGCTTGGTGGGGTTGGGTGTTGTAGTATGATTTGCGACGACCCAGGCTGCACCGTTGTCGTCGTACTCTGGCATTTTCTCCGGAAGTCCCTCGTTGACTTTCCAGTCGTTCAGGGAGGGCAAAGGGATGGTGCCGTTGAATGCAGAGATTTGGGCCTTCAAGCTGCCATATGGTGTTCGCGAAGTCTCCAGCTTCTTTCCGTTCCAGGAGAGTGTAAGAGCAGTTTCATGTGCAAAAACTTCTATCGTGGTGCTATTCTTGACGTCACCCTTCAAGGCGACTACATCTCCGTCCAGTGCCGCACCACGAACGAGGTAAGGTCCTTGAATCAAGACTAGACGCATGTTAAATCCAACTATCTTCGCGCAAATATGGGAACTTACCAGACTGGTCGACAGGCGCGAAGGGATCGTTTGATAGGTTAGGAGCCCAGAACAAGTACGCAGTAGGCTTATCAGCAAGAACGACCTTGACGCCGTTGTTGAATTGATACACGCCCATACCGGTTACTCTCTCAATGTTGGTCGTAACTCCACCTGCTTCGGCACGGAAAGTGGCGTTCGAAGTGAACCCACTGCTGGCTAAAGAACCCTTCGTAGCGCCCTTGACGTGGAACTCGACTGATCCTCCCACGTCCGTTGATAAGACTACTACCGGGCTAGAATCAATGAGAGCATATGTGAGTATTTCGGCCGTGGAGTAGGTAAGAGTCTTGTTTCCCATAGCAAAGTCAGTCGAGATAATCTTAGACTGATGGCCATTGAGAACAATCGAACCCGAATGCTGGGGGATGGTCAGGTTGCCGACAGATGTACTAATGTGTAGCTTGAATGACTCCGTGGTGGAAGAGGATGATACAGAATGGATGGTAACGTAAAAGGCAGCTTTGGTGATGGGGTTGCGGAGCTCGCTTGCTGTAACAGCGGGATTGGTGGTGTATGAGCTCGAGCTTCCGAGGCGGTCGGTAACGGTCAAGTCGTCGGCAACACGGGTGAACATGGCCAAGTTCTTGGTTTCATAAAATTTGGCGCCGATTTCGCGATTCTCGCTGATCGGACTGCTGTAATCGTACGATGTAGCTGTGACTGGGGCAGCAATAGCGCCCCAGTTGGTACCACCAAACATCATGTAGAGCGATACAGCAGTGACTCGCTGGGAGATGAGGTTCCTGTAAAAGAGATTTGCGAAGTCTGCGCCGATATCACCTGGGCAGCCGCCCTCTGGGCCTCCCCACGGATTGTATGAGCCGCCTTGGAACTCAGGGAAGAAACTTGGCTGAGTGGGAGACACCTCCTTGAAATGGTCATAATAGTTCACAACTTGGTATGCCACATATCTGGTTGAACAAGTCAGTCAGGAGTGAACGAATATGTCGAACCAAGTAACGTACTTTCCGTTTGTACCCGTGCATTCTGCAAGGTTGCATGACCAACAAGACGGATAACTGTCTAATCCGGCAACATCGACGTTTCCCACAGCACCAGGCGCATAATCTTTACTCCAGCTCTTGGTGTTCATGTTCGGATCGTTGTGAATCAGGGGAATCTCGATGCCATTGGCTCGCGCAGAATCCTCCAGTGCCTGCATGTACCTCCCGGCAGCATCGTTGGGAATTTTCTTCGTTCTGTCCTTCCATTGCTCACCGTACTCATTCTCAATCTGGTAAACAAGCGCGTTTCCGCCATTTGTTACAAGATGCTTGGACGTGAGCTCGGAAAACTTGGAAAAGTAGGGATCCAGAGCCTGGAGGTATCTCGGATCATCATCTCTGAGCTTTCCATAAGCCCCCGTTGTGAGCCATAGCGGGAAGCCTCCAGCATTTGCTTCAGCGTTGACATAGGGCCCAGGCCTAGTGATGACGTAAAGGCCAACACGATGCGCAATCTCAAAGAGCTTGCTAAAGTCATGTGCGCCACTCTCGAAGTCCAGGGTCTTGTTGTTCGCGCTGTGGTAGGCCCAGTTGCCATAGAAAGCAAAAGCCGTGAAGCCTTGTAGTCTTTAGTCAATACCAATATTGCTTGCACTAACGGGGAGACTAACCTGCAGCCTTGATTTTCTCTAGCAAGTCTTCCCAAACCTCATAGACCGGAATACGCCAGTAATGGATTTCTCCAGAGAAGACGAAGAGTCGTTTCCCATTCACCTTGAAGGAATAGTGGTCCCATTGCACAACATCGCTCAGACCATTGTCGTGGAGTGGCCACGTACTCGGCGTGTTGTTCTGAGCGCTGACACCGAGTCCGTTGGGCAGGGAAGCCAATGATGATAAGGCCGATATCCAGGAGAGCCCCGCGATAGTCTTCATGGTCGTTGAAGTCGGAAAACTTCAAAGCCAATAAGCGCTGCCGCCATTGTGTCGGACTTGTTAAGAGTTTATGAGTACTACGGGAGTACCGAACCCCTGGTTGGGACGAGTCAAACAAGACGCTAGTTTCTTGTCGCGATGGCATACTGTGAGTTGCGGGGATGCAAGACGATTCCTAATGGTGGAATTGAGATCTCATATGTGCACGCTCCACCGGTTGTGCCGAGGCACGGGTAAATAAACACTGAGAAACGAAGCATCGGACACGGAAGGGTTCCTACATTACGTTAGGTTCTTGAAGATCTCAAAGAATTGAGGTACAGAAAACGGGAGAAGGATTAATAGAGTTGAAAGAATCATGATATTCTGTGGGGCGCTTGGGGAATTGTGTCCCGGAAGGGTCCCAACGAAGACTACATCGCTCGTCCGTACCGGGGCGTCAATTTTTTGCCTCTTCATTATTAGAGTAAAAAGGCAGAAAATTCAAACTAAAAGTAGCTAGAGTTGGCGAGAGTCCAAGCTGTTCCACAGTATACTCAGGCTGGCCGGTGAACCGCCCCTTATAGGTAAGTAGGTACCCGTCATGATGTGCTCTCAATCAATGTCACAAAAGATCCAGGTATTAGACTTATGCAGCTCACCATGGCGAGAATCATCCGAGAGAAAATTAGATATAAACATGTAGTCATCGTATACTGCAAGTTAGATAGCGGGGACTTGAAGAGCGCTTCCCGCGTTTCCCCGCACCAAGGCAAAGCACGAGCCACCTCTCTGACCCGTCATTCCCAATGCGACTCTTCGTCATCCACCGCAGCCGTTGCACCCAAATTCTGCTATGATTACGTTGCCAATTTTTGCGAAAAAATGATTTACTCGTTCTCTCTGACGTCGATGATGGTCGACTTGAACTTCCGGGCGGAAATCTTGCGGCTGAACAAGATGTCGAGCTCACGGTAAGAGCGGTCCTTGAATTCAGGAAGACCAAAGTAGGCCGAGACGAAACAGACGCAAGCAGTACCTCCCCAGACGTATCCACACTTGCCGGCCATGTTCCAACCGGTCGGGTTGAGCATGCGCGAGGCGAGGTAGATCATGGGAATTTCCGCCACGTAGTAGGCCGCTCGACCAACACCCGTGCTCAGGGCACGGAGACGGATTGACGAAGTTTCCGCAATGATGGAGTATGAGATGGGACCCATGGCTCCGGCAAAAACGAAAGAGATGACCACACCTAGGCAGGCCTGGGCATAGTTGGTAGCTTTGTTCTGCTCGATCGAGGCGCAAATGCCGAGGAGGAAGAGGAGGGCGACGTTGATGGCCGTTCCTGTCAGGTAGATGGTTCGACGGCCAAACCAGCCGCTCAACGGCCAGGAGCACATGTTGGCAATCAGCTGCAGGCACGAGTTGATCAGGTTCAGCTTGAAGGAGAAGTCTGTGGACATTCCAGCCTCTGCTGAAAGTTAGCTGTACTCTTGAAGCTCAATCGTGTAATACTCACGTTCGAAGAAAAATGTGGCCTGGTTGGCGATCAAGTTACCAGCAAAGTTTTGCGATGCATAGATCAAACAAGTGATCATCGTTCGGCGGAGATCAGTGCCCTTAAAGAGGTCGATCAAGCGAGGTTCACCACCCATATGCGCTTCAATCTGAACAGTACGTTCCATCATGGCGAGTGTATCTTCGGCAGCCGCCTGAGTTCCATTACGACGACCGAGGCGCTTGATGGAATTTAGAGCTTCCTCTTTGCGCCCACGTCGTACCAGCCACCAGGGGCTTTCAGGTGCGAAAAAGATAAGCACCATGATCGGTGTCTGAAGCTATTAGCTTTGGCGTAGCCATATAAGAAGATAGATGCTTACAGGAAAAACCCATTGTAGGGCAAGAGGTCCACGCCAGGCCCACTGGTCGTTTCGTTTATTGTAGCCAAGGGTAGCGGCGGCAACGATGATTCCACCGATTGACCATGACATCTGGAGAGTGGCTGTGCAGGCACCACGAAGGACGAGAGGAACGACCTCACTGGCGTAAGCAGGGGAATTGGCAATGAACATGCCCCAGGGAACACCTTCAAAAGCTTGACCAATGACAAGAACAGCGAGTGAATCAGCCTATCGACGTAGTTAGTTATCGTATCCACAATTCGAACGAGTTACTTACGAAGAAAGAGATGAAAATTGTTGCGTTCATAAGCATCAGAGCCAAGATGGTGGTCCATCGATAACCGAGACGGTTGGTAATGGGTCCAGCGAGGAAGACACCGACAAAAGCTCCACATTGACCAGCTTGGAAGAGCGAACTCTGCCATTTCGTCGGAATGGACTTGGTGGCTTCTCCTGCGACGTGAACGCCGTACCTTTCCTTGAACGCGGTAAGAGCAACAAAGTTACCGTTCAAGAACATATCGAATGACTCCATCACCTAGACAGTGTCAATAAAGCTCTTAAGCCTGACTCATGTATACCGCCATAACATACAATTGTAAAACAGAAAATGAAGGCCCAGAAACAAGCCATAGGATGGTCCTTGACGGCCTCCCAAAGGGTCATCTCGTGCTCACGGTTCTCCGCATTTTGCGCATCGGTCATGAGTTCCTTGTCGACTAGAATGTCGGCATGTTGGCTCATGCTCTTCTCTCGGTTCCCATCCTCGACCGCGAGGGTCTCATCCCGCTTGGCTTCGGCGAAGCCCGACATGTTCGGTCAGCGTGTGAAAAGCGAAGCACGAACAAGCAAATGCCGGATGCAAAGCCAAGCTGGCGAGGTCAGCTAGCAGAGCTTATATACTCCACACATCTTGGAATCGGTCTCGACAGAGGCTCGTACAATCCCAAGCCAACCCATGGGGCCCCGCATAAGCTTTCGAGGGGGCTTGCCAACGCTGGGCATCCTTATTGGTGGGTCTTTGGGATGGTATACAACTGCGGTCCGAGTAATGCCCTCGTGGCATTGTATGGCCCGAATTGAACGCACGGCTAGCATTACCATTGACGCAAAATCTGGAAGCTAGGGCGAGCCATATCCTACTTTGGTGATCCTGCCGTCCTCCTGCGGAGATATACTGTAGACGCGACCCGTCTTGCGGAAGTACTCCTCGTTGGGTATTAGCAAAATACGACCGGGCGTTTGAAGGGTTGCAAGGCGTCGTGTACAGGTGGAGACTGTGGTATCTGGAATACGACGTCGGGTCACTGCTCTTCGGAAGCCATACAACTCGTGCCTGGAATCAGCTACACAGACAGCGAGTCTTGCTCAAGTTGCTCAAGAGCTGGTAAACAACCCGGCTCCTAGGTTGGTGAATTGTGAGTTGGAGAGATCTCCTGATGACGACCAGGGGTCCAACTGAGATGGCACTTGCATCATGCCGCCCATACGTTGTGTTAACCCGCTGTTCGCTTATTCTAGGATTCCCTGTCGGAGTCTCATCGCGGCTAAAATCAGCCACTACGGCAAATGCAAGCCCGGTGGAGTCAGAACGCCATAGTGATCGCCCTACTACGCATAACGAGAATCCTGTAGTGTTTCATCTGATAAACATCGTACACCTTAGTTAGAAGGAAGCAGTTGAAAGTAGGACAAACGATATGCGGCATGTTCAACCCCGGGTGTTGAACATGTCGATTTTGCGACGACTCCGCTTTCCGGCCTCTACTCGGTGAGACTGTCTGACCCAACCGGCGCCATCCGTCTTACCGTTTAGAAGTGGATCTGGCAAAGATCAGAACACTCCTCAGCAAATGGAAGGGACGTGTGTTCAGAAGAGTCCTACCGGCTTACTCAAAGGGTGTACGGGCTATCTTGCTCCGAAGCATGGTTGATTGCTTGAAGACATGCAGTTCATTAGAGGAACAACGACTCATCAAGCGAGATATTTACTTCACGGAGTGACGGACGAGATACATATCTACACACTTCATTATTCTTTGCTGTGAAGTTAGAATATAGTGGCTCCACCGCATATTAAGTATACATCCTTAGGCGGTCATCAGCAAGTTTAAGGCTAGTACCGTCTTTAAATAGAAAGGTCTCCGCACCACTAGTAAACACTATCGACATCATGTTTCTAGATCTACATCTAGGTTTGACAAAGCCGACAAAGCTCAGGGGACAAAAGCTGCTTCATACTGTTCCGCTGTGTGCTGATCAAATGTAAGCACCGGATCCTGACGCGTGCCTCTCATCGCCAAGTTGCAAGAGCTCATGTGACATATGTCAGAGTCAACCCAACTGGTTTAGGAAATACATCCTGCTTGTTGTAAGCAAGACAAATGTTAGTTTTGCGTTGGTCATGAAATTGTACGTTTTTTACTGCTTTATCCGCGGCACAAACACTAAATGAGAAGTTAGCCAACTAGTATACCACTTTTGCATTCCATTGACACCTCCCAGTCTTGAATAACCTACTCTTTAGACAGACGCGCTTATGAAACACGCCGATGATGTGCAGAATCCACTGGGAATAGATTCCATGGCCCGTCATCGCTTCTACATCCTAGGTGCTCCTGTATCACTCTATCAACCCGAACGCATACCGTACGGTACCGCTTGTAAGACTGATATTATATCTATACAGGCTAGAAGTTCTCTGCGATCGCGAACTTTCTGTGTCTTTGTAATCTTTTGGAGTCTTTTGGGTATGGTAGTTTTGGGTGGCTCATTAGGTCGACTGCACCATGGTTCAGAGCCATACATACAGGCTATGGGCTCTCTTCGATCACGGATTTGCCGCGTCGATGTAATCTTTTGAAGACTTTTGGATGCGGTAGTTTGGGGTGCCTCAAGTCGACTGTACCATGGTACTAGTGTCGCTACCATGCCATACATACATAATTCAGGACCACACAACCGCATCATCCATTTGGCCACAAAGCCCAACCACATAATTTATCGACTCATCTTTGACTCAATTGTTGCGCCTTGAACACACGGAACTCTCCACTGTCACCACCACACGCACATCTCATTGTCGCCGCAGGGTCTCCCACCTTCTCTAGGAGCTATACAAACAGACTAGCGACGTTCCAACGTTGTGAAACAAGTACTGTTGCTGGGATTGAAAACACATGTATACCAGTGGAACAAAAGACGCGCGTTCTTTGCTCGAGACAAGGGCCGGTGAAGGTTCTGGTTGCCAGAGGGAAGTGGGATCCCGCCAGCGACACTATTACCTCAGCCTAGAAGATACGGGTGGTCTATGTTCATGTACCTTTATGCAATCAACACGTTGAATTTTCCTATAATGTATAGCTCCATCATTTTCCAAAGTACCATGGAGCCACCAATAACTTATTTAAGAATTGCAGGCCTACGGTGAAGGTGCTTTGGGGAGGCGCTTAGACATGGCTTTGCAAATTAGACATTGTCCGTGTGGCGCCGAGACTACTGCTAAGCAAATAATACCCACGGCTGTGGTGTTGATCAGCGCGTCGTTAGAATGCATTAGTATGCTTGTAGGAGTCACCCAGTCAGCAATTCCAGACTTCTACGCGTTCAGTACCGGGTGTCTAGCTTGAACTCTTTTTAGTCGTCAACTCTTTGTTAGTGTGAAACACCTTAAACGGTTTCTAACTACACATATTAATCTCTAAGACGTGCTTGTACTGAGCACTGGCGATACCGTATTTGCCTATCAAAACTTCTCCCTTTCGGCTCGCTGCATACCTAGGTGCATACACTAGAATAGCGGTTGAACCATAACTTTGGAGTCCCAGACGCCCACTCGGGAGCAAGCGAGGTGCAATCATTCGCACGGGTGCGCTGGAGCTGATGATCTATCGCTTCCTGTTGAAGAAGTAAGGTTAAGATCTACATACACATATGTAACTGAGCCAAGCCGTTCGACACGTGATAATACCTGTTGCAATGCGTCACTCTTACAGCATAGCCTTAACTTAGGGGTAGCGCCATCGAGATCTTGGCTACATATCTCTGACGTCAATTGATATATGTAAATGTATGGTGAAACGGAAAGGGGCTTTTGACTCTATGTTGCTTCCTCAAAATCTAAGGCGGTGTACGGGCGGAAAGTCGCAGGAGGTTTGCACTGCTCTAAGGGCATAATACACAATCGCCAGTTAGAACTGTACAAACAAACAGTGAGACGCGCCTACGTGCGCAAAAAAAAAAGCATTCCCTGGAACCTGGTAACTAATGGGCAATCCCCATGCTGATCCCCGTTAGCGCCCGCTAGCTCGCTTGACAGGGACTCATCTCGTTCGACCTTTAGGTACTATCGCACAAACGCTGCATTCCCTAGATATGCAACCAGAAACTCGGCGCCGCATCCGGTGTTGCTTTCGCCACTGCTGCAAACCGAGCATTCGTATTTGCCTTCGTTGCCGGCGAACCTGTACTGTCTGCTACGTACGTAGCCGCTATCGTGCAAAGAAGTTATCAAACACCACAGTTCTCTCTGTCGCTTTTCCAAAATATTGGCTTTTTTTCTCTATTCTACATAGGGCAGAATTATGCGATGATCATCCCCGAGCGTTCTGCGGTAAGCCTTATTTCTGTATCGATGATGGAATAGTACCTAGTTCTTGGGCATGGGTCTTACGAGCATATCCCAAACTTGAGAAAACCCTGCAGCTCCAGCAAAATCTGCGGCCCGCTGCATAAGAACGCTCTTATCTCCGTACCTATCGAATGAAATCGCATGGATAAGCGTGCGATGAATGCGGTTTCTTTGTTTAGTGGTGATCAAAGCTTGGCATGACACTGTCTTAGTGACTTCTTACCTTGCAGTTCGGTTGCCTGTTACCAAACCAACTTTCCAGATATTACATTTTCTTGTTAAATAGGCCCCAAACACCTGCCTCGGCAACTTTATGCGTTTTCACACGCTCTTATCATTACATCACTCCGGAATGGCCACTGCGATGAAAACTATGCAGCCTAAAGGGCTCCAAAAGACCGCACCCACGGGGCGAGTGTCGTCAAATCTCGAAGGTAGTTCTTCCATATCACTTTCGGATACTCCCCGAGTTAGCTAACGAAAACAGCTAACAAGACGGACGTGAAGAGTATAAGCACGATCAATCGTGACTCAAAGCTCGACTCTTTAACCTTGAAGCGAAAAAGACCCGGTAACGACACATACGACAACAAACTGCAATTCAAAGCGAGGCGTGATTCCAGCCTCGGCAGTTTTGACTGTGTTTCTGACGAAAAGATTCGGGCGGTACAACTCCAGAACCGAGTCATCGAACAAAGTAAGATACTACAAGCTCATAAGGAAAGGTTGGAAAAGCAATCTGGAAACAATTGCAAATTGAAAGCACTTCTACATGACTGCACAAAAACCGTAGAAGGGCTGGAAGAAACCGTAGAAGGACTGGACCAAATCATAAAGGAATGGGAAAAGCATTTCCACCAGCGAGATGAGCCTAAACGTACAATGGCGAAGATTACCGGAGTGGAGCATTGTTTGAACAAACATGATGCACGCTTACAGGGACTCGAAGAAGAACAAAAGAGATACGCCTCTCGACTAGATACGCTGCAGACAGAAGGAGACGCTTATCACAGTGACTTAAGCGATCTAAAAGAGAATATGGAGGCGAACAAAGTGGGAATCGAGATGCGCAACGAGGATATGATTGAGGTAAAGAAAGATGTTGAGGTCAACGTAAGAAGGATAGAGTTGCAAAACGAGACGACACACGCCCTGGAAGCTCGACTGCTATCGTATGAACTAGTCCTTGCTGGTATCGAAAAAGAGTTTGATAGCCTCAGGCGCGAGCAAGATGAAAAGATAGCGCAATTGGCGAGAGAAAACAAACGACAAGATCAAAGGATAGAGCAATTAGACAGAGAGAGCAAGTGGCAAGATGAAAGGATCAGATCTCAAGAAAGGACAATAGCACAACAGGGCGGCATGATCAAGAAACAAGACGTGAAAATCAACGGACATGAAAATCGTATGATTGGGCAAAGCAAGTGTTTGATAGAGCATAATAGTAAGGCAAAGAAACAAGACGAGAAGATGATGCAACAAGTCAAAGAGATGGAAAACCAAGCCAAGCAGATTGAAGAAAAGAACAGGACGATAGAAGAGCAGGCCAAGAAACTGGCACACTTTGAGTGCAGTAATAGGGAACATCTCTTACAACAAGATATCGCAATGGCCAAACAAGCTAAAGAGGTGGGAAACCAAGCCGGGCAGATTGAAGAACAGAACAAGGCTATGGAAGAGCAGGCCATGAGACTGGAACAACTCGATTGCACCAGCAGACAACGTATCCTGGAACTTCAAGCTGACCTGGAAGGACAAACCAAGGCGGCTGTCAGTGAAGCTGAAATAAAGCTTGAGGCAGATCTAGAAAGTGTGAAGAAACTTGTGACAGTGTCTGAAAACGCATCAAGCATCCCAAAAACAAGCGCAGCGGAACTCAGGACCCTCAGATTCCAGATGGAACTCATCAAGGCACGCTTAGACCGGCACGAGGTTACAAACCGCAACCTGATTTCGAAGGCCACGACGCAAGAGCTATCTCTGACAGCGGTGAGCGAAAAGCTCAAGGCAATGGGTAAACAACTATCGAGCATCCAAGCTGCCCAATCGGAAGTTTCCAGTCGACTAGACGACCACATCACCAGCGAGCGGCTGAAAGCAGAGATTGAAAATCTCCAGAACCACATCAGGGAGTGTTGGGATCGCCTCAAAGAGAGGATCGAGCTGCATAGACAAGGTTTAGTCAGTGGCGTAAACCAGCGCGTCGTTACCATCCACGAGCACCTTGCCGTTCTGACATCGGGCCTCAACGCTATAAATGGTGAGCATGAACGGGTAAGTCGAAGATTTCAACTCTACCATGTCCATATTTAACTAACTTTGACAAAATAGGTCGTCGGTCACCTCGCAAACATCGCAGCGCCTTTTCGACCAGCACCCCCCGCACAGCATATTCAACACCACATGGTTGATCGGAATGCGATATCCCCTCAGCCCATACCGGTAGATGATGGCGGAGCGTTAGTTCCCATCTCACATACTGCGCCGCCGGCTCCAAGTCACCCCTCAGGATTACAGCGCTCGGGGCCTCAGCCTGTGAGAAGGTCTTCTACGGGGGACATGTAGTGTGGTTCAAACACAAGGGACGGCATCGTCTTCGCACGTGATGGAAGAAGTGGGGTTCTAATCGTCGACATGAGTCAGTCGCTGACACCACTGTGTATGTTTTGTGCTGGGTACACCCTTCACTTCATCTCTCTTCCTTAGCTTAACACAGTGATACCCACTGCTTTATAGATGGCGCAGTTCGAGGCGAAGGATTATTTATATATGCATTAATCCATATTTTTGATGTCCTGCATTGAAACCCACTATCTCTACCCCCCTAAGAGCTTTTTACGAACAAGTCAAGCGTGAATTCCTATTACGTTGTTGTTCCATCATGGCCATCACTGTATTCACACACACGCCGCGTCATTGCAAAACTAGCATACCGTGAAGAAAAGGGAGCGCTCGCTTCATAGAACGCCCATAAAAGTATAACTTGCATTCTTTTTTCTATCATCCATGTACACTACCCCGAGAGTCTCTATTTCTTGGGCTTGTATTCTGAAGGGTTGACCATCAGCTCCGGTCGGACGTACTTGTCAAAGTCTGCTTCGCTGATGACCTCGAGCTTGAGCGCTGCTTCCTTGAGCGTAAGGCCGTTCTTGTGTGCGTGCTTCGCGGTCTTGCTGGCAGCGTCGTAACCGATGATGGGGTTTAGGCAGGTGACAAGCATGAGACTAGGTCAAGTTAGCAATAGTTATAGCCAAACATGAATTGGGTGACTGACCTTTCGCTCATGATGGAGCTGATACGCTTCTCATCCGCCTCTAGACCGGCAACCAGGTTCTTCTCGAAGCTCCTCATGCCGTCCGCGAGCAGACGAGAGCTGTGGAGCAGGTTGCGGATCATGACGGGCTTGAACACGTTCAGCTCAAAGTTACCCTGCGATCCGGCAAAGGTGGTGGCTACGTGGTTACCAAAAACCTGAGCGCAAACCATGGTCAGAGACTCGCATTGGGTGGGGTTAACCTTTCCAGGCATGATAGAGGAACCCGGCTCGTTCTCAGGTAGCTTGAGCTCTCCGAGACCGCATCGTGGGCCGGAGCCGAGGAAACGTATATCTTGGGCAATCTTGAAAAGAGAGGTAGCGAGGGTGTTGAGCTGGCCGTGAGCCTCCACAATGGCGTCGTGGGCAGCGAGCGCTTCGAACTTGTTTGGTGCGGTAACAAAGTCCTTGCCAGTCATCTTGCTGACTTCAGAAGCGATATCCTCGGCAAAGCCCTTGAATGTGTTGATGCCGGTTCCGACAGCAGTTCCTCCCTGTGCCAACATCTTCAGGCGTGGCAGGCATGTCTTTATGCGCTCAATGCCAAAGTCCAGCTGCGCCACATAGCCAGAGAACTCCTGACCCAGGGTCAGAGGTGTGGCATCCTGCAAATGTGTCCTGCCAATCTTGATCAAGCTCTCCCATTGCTCAGACTTCTTCTTCAGAGCATCCCGTAAGCTGGTGAGGGCGGGGAGGAGCGACTCCTCAAAGTCGAGGACGGCGGCAATGTGCATGACGGTGGGGAAGGTGTCGTTGGAGGAGGCGGACATGTTGACGTGGTCGTTGGGATGAACAGGCTTCTTGGTGCCCATGGTGCCACCGAGGATCTCAATGGCGCGGTTGGAGATGACTTCGTTCGCGTTCATGTTGGACTGGGTGCCAGAGCCAGTCTGCCAGACAACGAGCGGGAAGTGATCGATGAGCTTGAGCGAGGCAACCTCGTCGGCCGCCTGCTGGATAGCCTTTCCAAGCTTTGGGTCTGCATGGCATTAGCAGTGTGGCTTCGTACTGATTGAACATGGCATACCCAGCCCAAACTTCATGTTGACAGTCGCAGCGGCGCCCTTGAGGATACCAAAGGCACGCACGATTGGCGGCGGCATGCGGTCCTGGGGCTGATTTATCTTGAAGTTCTCCAGCGAGCGCTCCGTCTGGGCGCCCCAGTACTTGTCAGAGGCCACCTGGATTTCGCCAAAGGCATCGCTCTCGGTTCGTGTGTTGGCCATGCTGCTGGTGAAGCTGAATTGGCGGCGCTGGAACGCGGCCTGTGTCTTCAATGGCGTGTACCGGGCGTTGGAAAGCGGACGGGCACTGCGGGCACAGCAGAATGAGGGGTTGGCCTTTGCATATGCGAGTGATCGCAATGCTCCAGCCTCGGCAGCCCGCAGCTTGGTTGCGCTTCGGAACATGGTAGCAGCCAGTGGTGGGGGGCAGAATAAGTTGAGGGTGAATGACTAGATGCCGGATTGGCTGATGGATGGCTTCAATCGAGGCTGAATGTAGACTAGAGGAACAATTGCCCACTACGTTTGAAGCTCCAGGTAAATCTGTCGCAGACACACAGACACACAGACACACGGAGCTCTCAGACTTCGCGGGCGACGGCCGGACTCAGTTCCGATCTTTCCCGCGTCATTCGGGCTGCACGTGACGTGCACAGCGCCAAGACTTGATCCGGAACATGGAATGTGCGCCGCATGCCATCAAGCGAGTGCGAGCAGATTGTGTTCTTGTTACTACCAGTAGATTGCTACAAGGCCATCCCTTCATCCTCGCCACCAAAAGCAGTCTTGTCCGTTCATGTTCCTCGTTTCTACATGATGTGTCTCTCAAGACTCCTCATCTCGGCGCCAACCCCTCAGCATTAGCCCTAGAATGACTCCCGCATGCAACGTCAAGCGTTGGATTCTTTGTCTGCGTGCATGCGGCGGTTCGCAAAGTTCCACCGCCCTGGCCAGCCACTGTTCCCATCTTCCCAGTTCCCAGTTCTCGCCGATTTGCACCTTTGTGAGCATCACCCTGCTTACAGACTTGTCGTCGGCATGTCCCAGCCAGCCTAGCGGAACGTCTGCATAGTCAATAGTTACCGATCAAACTTCGGCATTATCGGGCACACCCTGCTGAGTGAAACACACCTCGTGCCCAAGGTCTCTTTTCCGCTATATGTCCCGTCTGCATCGCCGCCCTCGGCTCGGGTGAGGGCCGGGTTTATTGGACAATGCTGAGGCACGCTGCAGAGCCTACGGATGTACTGATGTATTAGTAGAGCCGCGGGGGCGAGCAAACAAGCAACTTTAGTAATGCGTCGCAGCGTGACGCCTCGAGCCGTGTGCCCTGCGCCTTCCGTCTCCCATGTTTAGATTAACGTAGCGAGTCAAGTCGGAGAGCACCTGATCTGTCTCCACCGTTCTTTCCATCCATGCTGCGCTCTCGCCCTTGAGCGTGCCAACGTAACATCGAGCTAACGACCCCTCATCTTCACTTACTGCTCTGTTCCCAGCCTCAACAATCACTCTTACTCGGCTCTGTTGCCTATTGTTCTTTTGCAACCGCTGACTGTGTCTCGACGCCTTCACTCGACCAAGCTGCTCCACTTGCGAAGCACCGACACCAACTGGACCGCACGTACTTGCTAAGCTGTAGATAAGGCTTCCATGACGCTCATCGAGCCTTCTGCTCTGAAGCTCTCTACCCAACCACTACGACTACCTCAATCCAAGACGGCCGTCCATTTACACCAGTGTCTACTCTGTTCCTCATAACCTCCACTGCCACGTCCACCCTCGACCCAGGTATTCCACACAAGCCACACAAGCCTCCCAGATTGGCTTGCCACAGAACGCCGCATCTCGTCCACAAACAAAGCTCGCATGGCTGAGCCCGACTATGGCGCGGCTTCATGGGCTCATTACTTGCACTCGACAGGTCCGGGGACTCAAGGTGCAGAGCTGACTGCCCCGCTTCTCTCCGCACATGCACCCTTCCAACAGCAACTCCCCCCTCTATATGGTGCCCCATACATGCCCACCAGCAACCCGGCAATGTCTCAGATGCACAATGTACAGAATTACTCAAGTAGCGACCGGCCACATGGGCTTTCTCCTTATCCTCCCGTGGGGAGCCACCATCTGTTCTATCACCACCAATTTTACCCATATCAGGCCGCAGGCCCTCCAAGACCGCCGCCAGCCTGGAACGGATCCGATCAGTTGCAACCTGATCACAGCCTCTTCAACCACGCCAACATGATGCAAGGCCATCAGCTATCATCTCCACCAGGGACTTCATTTCACAGCCACCAAATGTCTGGATCCTCCAACGCTGGGAATCCACCCTATCCCCGACGCCGTCATGAGCACAGGCCGAGTGGGGGTTCGCTCGCACGCAGTCCTAACGCAGAAAATATGCGAGGCTCTTATGAAGCGTTCCAGATGTCAGCACCGGGTGCCCGAAGCCAACATGCTAGACCCCTTCAAGAGCATGGCCAAGCGAGTGAGCAAACATACCCCAGGTCAGGACCCCGTCCTTGGATGTCAGGTGAAGTCCAAGGACGCCGCTCAGACCGTAGCATCTCCCCACGGACTTCGCATCGTCGGAATTTCGAGGGGTATTCACGCGACCTCTCACATTCGAGCACGTCGTCTGACGCAGAAGAGGCGGCCGCGCGCGCACCACCATTGAATCGTGTGAGGCACCGGCAAAGAGAGGTGCGACCACGAATCGCAGACCGCCCGTATGTGGATCCCAACATTGCCACGCCGCGGCAGCTGCAGGAGCTCAAAGATGGACTCGCGCGGCGTCTGCCAAGCGAGCTCCCAGAGGAGGCGTCCAAAGCCTGTGACATTTGCCAGAAGGATTACTCGGCTACACATGTAGCGCCAACAGAAGAAGAAGAAATAGCCATTGTGCTGTCGTGCGGGCACTCGTTTGGAGAGTTCTGCATGTTTGAGTGGGTGAGTGACAGTGCGGTGACAGTATGTCGATTGCTTGCTAAAGCCAACCTAGTTTGATACATGCAGAAGACACAAAAACAAAGTCACTTGCCCCATGTGTAGGAAGCAGCTCATTGAGGCGCCGCGACACATGTACAGCATGATGCATGACTTTCCTCGCCACGGTCAAGCATTTGCGGACCTCGTGGCTCGCGAGACGTTGCTTACGCGCCAACAGCTATTGGTTGGTGGCATTCGAGGCAACATGGGCGACATGGTCGATATGGATGTGTAGGTGCTATTTTGGTTTTGGGGCTGACGAGGCTGGAAGGGCGCTTGTGAGGAGCTATGATATCATTGTTTAGCATGGGGGCATGGCGTCTTTGGGAACATGTGCACCAAGGGTGCTTGGATACACACTTGTCTTTTTGTAGACAGGACTTTTCGAGCATGAAGATGATAATAATATACCTGGTAGACACAGCAGTATCCAAGTCGGTCGGATGTCAGGTGGCGTAGGCATGGTATGGCAGATGGCATTCTTAGACCTTGATGTCGATCAATGATGGGGCCCACTTGCAGGGTATACGGAATCCAGATGGTTGCCCGGAGCACACTTGACCCAAAACACGCACCCCACCATCAACACCACCCTGAGACATCTGCAATCTACAATCTACACGTTACAGTGCTTGTTGCGCGCCGCCTGCAAGCCAATCTACCTTGGTAGACACAATTCCGTGTGCTCGTGCTTATACATCCCTTCTGCGACACTTGCATCGCTCCTTCCCTCGCTCGCGGCGACAGCTGCCCGCCCGCCCATCTGCCGTATACCTGATTGTCTGCCCGCAGTCGCCCTTTCTGCGTCACCATCGAGACCCGTCACGACACCATGGCCAGCACCGGCCGAGACAGCTTCAAGCTCCCTGATCCACCACCACGACTCCACACTCGCGACAACAGCATGGATCGGCCAGGAACGCCCGCCGAGGCCTTCATGAGCCCGCAGCAGACACCCCAGGGCAGCCCCAGCAAACACCACCAGCCACCGGGCGCATTCGATCTGCCGCATGTGTTTGAAAATGCCATGAGACTGCTGCCCACGGTTGGTTCGCCTTCCAAGCCCAAGCCAGGGTCACCAACATCGCCCAACAAGCTGAAGTTGGGCGGTGGTGATGACGCAGACCACAATCCACACGATTCCACCAGCATCACACCGGGCAGCCCTACGCGCAAGTCGAACCAGGAAAACACGCCGCCCAGCGGACGCCCGGGCGTGCAAAAGGAGCCGAGCTATCTCACACAAGCAGCACAGTCGCGGCAGGAGCCATACCGCACGCGCGGGGCAGACCAGTCGACACGCTACCTGAACGGCCCTCAGCGGCTCTCGCCCGAAGATCTGGAGAAGGCGCGCAAGCCGGCAGTAAAGCGACTTGCGAATGTCACGCAGCTGTGTATGACGCGCGCATCCTAATGTCGAGCCCGGGCTAACACGTCTTACAGACTTCCTCGATTACTACTACGACCTCCTTACCTACGTGCACACCCGCCAGTCTCGCCTCACTCAATTCAAGGCCCAGAACCCTCTACCGCCCGAGACACCCGAGCAAGAGTACAGCGATGCGCTCACACAGTACCTCGGCCGCGAGCGCGCAAACCTACGCAAGCGTCGCACCCGATTAAGGCAGGGTGACTTCCAGATCCTCACACAAGTCGGCCAGGGAGGTTATGGACAAGTGTACCTGGCCCAGAAGAAGGACACACGCGAGGTCTGCGCCTTGAAAGTCATGAGCAAGAAGCTGCTCTTCAAGCTGGACGAGGTCCGACACGTCTTGACGGAGCGCGACATCCTGACCAGTGCTAAGAGCGAGTGGTTGGTGCGACTGCTCTACGCCTTCCAAGACGACAAGAGTATCTATCTTGCCATGGTGAGTCGTTGCGTAGAGAAGACATTGCAGGGCGTGGACAGATGGACTAACACTTGCTAGGAATACGTCCCAGGAGGTGACTTCCGAACCTTGCTCAACAACACGGGTGTCCTGCACAACCGACATGCGCGCTTCTACATTGCCGAGATGTTCTCATGCATCGATTCACTACATCAGCTGGGCTACATTCATCGCGATCTGAAGCCCGAGAACTTCTTGATCGACAGCACTGGCCACGTCAAGTTGACAGATTTTGGTCTTGCAGCCGGTATTCTCGCACCCTCCAAGATCGAATCGATGCGCATCAAGCTTGAGTCAGTGAGCGATGTTATTGCTCCGTTCGGTCGACCTATCGAGGAGCGATCAGCAGCACAGCGAAGGGACAACTACCGCTCTCTTCGTGAACGAGATGTCAACTACGCCAAAAGCATCGTTGGAAGCCCGGACTACATGGCTCCAGAAGTGCTAAAGGGCGACGAGTACGACTTCACCGTGGATTACTGGAGCTTAGGGTGCATGCTCTTCGAGGCCTTGGCTGGCTACCCACCCTTTGCCGGTGCCACAGTTGATGAGACGTGGCAGAACCTGAAGCAATGGAAGAAGGTGCTGCGCAAACCCGTCTACGAAGACCCGTCATATTTTCTCTCCAAACGCACTTGGGACCTCATCATACGACTAGTTGCCTCCAAATCGACCCGCTTCCGCAACATCTCTGAGATCCATGCCCACCAGTACTTTGCCGAAGTTGACTGGGCGAAGCTGAGAGAGCAGAAAGCGCCGTTTGTACCAGAGCTGGACAGCGAGACGGACGCTGGGTACTTTGATGATTTTGGTAACGAAGCCGACATGGCGAAATACAAGGAGGTGCATGAGAAGCAGGCAGCCTTGGAGGCTATGCAAGATCGCAACGTCCAGATGGGCAAGGGCCTCTTTGTCGGGTGTAAGTATTGTCCCGTGTCATGCTGCCTCATGCTAACAAAATCGCAGTTACATTCCGGCACAAGAAGACAACGGAAGAGAATGGCAAGCCAGCAAGCCCCAGAAAGCCGCTTCCCATGGTGGATGAGAATTTTGGCACTATATTCTAGGACGACAACTAAAGGGTCGACAGTTTCGTTGTGTGGGCCAGCACTGGTTGCATTGGCGCTTTTATCTCCTTCGTACTCCCTTGAGTGGGCCATATTTGAAGCAAATGACCGATGTGCATCTGCGGCACGTCATGAAGGATGGCATCTTTTGGCAGAGTTGAAGTTCATTTTGGACCAAGCATAGTTTGTTTGGCGGCAGGGTGCGTTGCATGCATTCGAGAAGTCGTGTATTAGTAGACAATGAATACACGAGAATATGATATCATAGCTTGGACCGAGCTTGGACCTTTTCGATGAGAACACGCTCTCACCTGACCGCGTTGCAAAGTGGTGTGCACGGACGCGCTGCGTGGCCGCTAGTCGCTAGTTCCCGTCCACGGATCCCATTCATCCCCTCCGTCTGTCGAATGCTCAACTACAACAAGAACAACAACAATGCCCGGTATTGTCCACAGAGGGCGAAAGCGGACATCTCTAGCAGTCAGCGACGATGACGAGAGCGAGCAGTCAGATCACTCGTCTGCATCCTCGGCCAGTAAACGCGCCCGCCATGATGGGGACGCGTCCGCGACCCCCGCGCACACGCAAAACGGCGGCACCAACAACTCAATCGCACACGGCCAAGACGCCTTCCAGCCCGGGTCGCTTGTGAGAGTGAAGCTCACCAATTTTGTCACATACACGGCTGCCGAGTTCCACCTAGGACCCAGCCTGAACATGGTCATCGGCCCGAACGGAACAGGCAAGAGCACGCTTGTCTGCGCAATCTGTCTGGGGCTCGGATGGGGCAGCGAGCATCTGGGGAGGGCCAAGCAAGTGGGAGAGTATGTGAAGCATGGTGCTGCAATGGCTACCATCGAAATCGAGCTCGCCGCGGGTCCGGGCAAGGACCAGAACCATATCATCACACGTACCATTCGCAAGGAAGACAACCAATCACGTTGGTTTCTCAACGGCGCGCGCTCCACCCAAAAGGAAGTCATCGAGCTGGCGAAAACATACTCGATTCAGATCGACAACTTGTGCCAGTTCTTGCCCCAAGATCGTGTAGTAGAATTTGCAAGAATGACCGATGTCGAACGCTTGCGAGAAACACAACGTGCTGCAGCGCCACCGTACATGGTAGAGTGGCACGACAAACTCAAAGCCCTGCGGAAAGACGAACGGAACTTGGAGACGAAGCGGCAGAATGAGGAGAAACATCTTGAGGCACTGATGAGGGTGCAAACTGCAGCACAGGGTGATGTGGACCGCATCAGGGAGCGCCAAGAAATCCAAACAAAGCTCAACTGCTTGCGCAAAGCTCAACCTGTCATCGAGCTCAGGTTGTGCAGGAAAGAGATCGAGCAGCTCAAGGAAAACCTCCGAGTGGCCAGGCTAGAGCTTGATGAGATCAAGGTCGACGTCGAGCCAGCACGTCAAGCCCAGGCAGAGATGCAATCATACCAGAGCGATATTGAAAGAGTGGTGAGGCTTCGCAAGAACCGAGTCGACGAGATCAAAAGGAAAGCCGACAATCTCATGGCAGCCATTGAAGCAGACAAGGAGAAGGCTATTGACTTTGAAAGCAACATCACAGCTGAGGTAAACGCAATGAAGAATCGCAAAAAGGAAATTGCCCGTATAACTGCCGAAATCAACAAGCTAGAAAGGGAGCGCCATAAAGATGCCCCCCAATATAACGCCGATTCCTACGAGCGACGCAAGGCGGATATCCGGGCTCATATATCGGCCAGAAACAACGAAATCACGGACAAGGACGCAGCAAGAAAATCATTAGTGTCTCGCAATACAGGTCTCAACGAGGTGCAAAACAGCATCACGAAACGGCAAACAGAGCTGAGCACTCAGAGCGGAAAACAAACCAATCTTCTAAAGAAGATTTCTTATGATACAGCAACGGCCTGGGCATGGATTCAGGAGAACAGAGATACCCTGGGACTCAAAGGCGAAGTGTATGGGCCGCCGATATTAACATGCTCGATTCCAGACAATAGATACGCCCAGGCTGTGGAAAGCCAGTTAAGGAAAGGCGATGTCGTTGCAATAACTTGTACCAACAACGACGATCAGCGGCTCCTATCGACTTGCCTGCTGAACAAGCGAGATAATCGACAAAAACAGGGCCTAGGACTCCACGACATCCATCTTCGAACCTCCCCAAAGTCTCTCGACGCATACAAATCGCCAGTCGCAGAATCAGACCTGTCCAGTTACGGATTTGAAGGTTATATTCGACAATATATCCAAGGGCCTGACGCTGTTCTAGCCATGCTTTGCGACAATAGGAACCTCCATCAGATAGCGTATGCTGCGACGCCAATCTCTGATGAGCAACACGATGCTGTGTCGAACAGCTTGATCCGTACCTGGGTCAGTGGCGCGCATACCTATCGCGTTACCACACGTAGAGAATACAATCAGTCTTCAACGTCCGTCACGAAACTGGGGGTTGCGCAATGGTTTATTGACCTACCAGCCAATACGGATGAAATGCGGCAGCTCAATGAACAGCTCAATGAACTCAAGAAGGAGAAGGATGAATTGCGTAAGCAGCATACCGACCTCGGTCAGGAAATCAAGACACTCAGGGAAGAAATTGAAGCGCTCAACAGAGAGAAGGAACAAATACAGAAGGAGCAGGATGAGATGAAACAAGAACTGGCCAAATGGGCAGCTCTCCCCGAAAAGATTGCCACAGAACAAACTCGGTTAGACAATAACATGGCACAAGATGCGCAAATTACCAATCGCGTCCGAGCGATAAAGGCGAAAATCCGTGCTACATCACTGCGCATCGCCACTCAGACTCTCGAATATGCCAGAACTGTAACGCACATGCGTATGTTCAACGAGTCGCTCATTGAGGCTGAAATACGGTTCGTCGAAGCCAAGTCGGAGATTCGTGCTTTGGAGCGTGAGAACAGCGAAATCTTACAGAAACTGAGGACCAAAGAACACGAGATCAAAACACTTGAAATTCAGAATGAACAGCTCCGTAGGGATTTTCGCAGCCGCCGAGACCAAGCACAGCAGGACATCAATGGCTGGCCCGAGCATGAAAAGGAAATCATACAACAGTATAGTACCGACCTGCAGTCAATTGCGGAATTGGAACAGGAGATCGACTCTGTCCAGATCCAGCTAAACATGATGACCGAAGGCAATCATGGTGTGATTGAGACTTACGAGAAGCGCAAAGAGGAAATTACTAGGACCGAAGCGAAACTGCACGACTTAACTGGCGATCTCGAAGACATCAAGGAGAAGGTCATCGATATCCGCCAGAAGTGGGAGCCTGAACTCGATGCTCTCATACGTAAGATTAGCTGTGCTTTCGCACATAACTTCAAGCAGATCGGATGTGCTGGTGAAGTCGAGGTATACAAGGACCAAGAGGAGTTTGAGCTCTGGTCAGTCCAGATCTCTGTCCGCTTCCGGTAAGTTCCTTGACTCCATTGACATACGAACCCGATTAACAAACCCAACAGCGAGAATGAACCCCTGAGTATCCTAAACTCACACCGCCAGTCCGGTGGCGAGCGCGCCGTTTCAACAATCTTCTACTTGATGGCGCTACAAGACCTTGCTCAATCCCCCTTCCGCGTCGTCGACGAGATCAACCAGGGCATGGACCCGCGCAATGAACGCATGGTGCATGAGCGCATGGTGGACATTGCCTGCCAAGAGCGCACAAGTCAATACTTTCTCGTTACACCCAAGCTCCTGACGGGCCTCAAGTTCCACCCTAAGATGAAAGTTCATGTCATCAACTCTGGCGAGCATGTCCCAGACTCGAGTACGCTACAGGGCGATTGGAACTTGAGTGAAATGGCCAAGGTTGCGCTGACGACCAGGATAAGGGTTTCTTAAGTTGAGAAAAAGTGAGTATGACGAGGGACAGCGGCGCTGGAAATCTATATTACGATGCGGTTACGTACAGGTTGTGGACAGGCGATTTTTACGGTTTTTGGGTTACACATCAGCGAACGTTTTCTTTTTCTTTGTCTGGCGTGGTACGACCCTCACGCAACTTTCTACTATCGATAGCGCTCGCTCGCGCGAGGAATAAATTGAGGTACCCGTATTTCCCGCCCGCGAACCTATTTCTCTAGTTTGCTAGCACGCCATGTAACGGTCGCCTCTGGCGTATCGTGTTGTGTGCGACGGAAGATTGTCGTATAGTTCTGTTTGTGCTACGGGTGGGCGATAACGGCCATGCCGGCTGTGTGTGTCGTGCATATGTGGGGGTGGTTTCAATTGATGACAAACAAACACGCGATGTCGTTAATTCGGGTATTACGACAAACTCGGGGCTCAATTACACACGCGCATGGGTAAGTAAGAGTAAGCAAATCAGCAAATCAGCAAATATTTCGCTGACGGAGGAACACGATCATAGTGTGACATGGGTACGGCTTCACCGGCTCGGGGTTGGGTTGTCTGAGCTAATTTGTTTTACCCGCCGCCATGCTGGGGGGTACCATGAGGTGAGATGTATGGGAAAGACATGGGTAACCCTATTATACAAGCCCATTATTTTTCTGTTTCCTTTGCAAGGTAGCATTGATAGGCATCCTTGTGTCGTAAATTCTTGATTTGGGATGAGGGAGATGACGGATGTGGTAAGGTTGATGTTGTGGTGTGAGGGATTTGAGGGACATATATAGAAAGGAAGGAAGGAGCATACATGGCACCTTACTTCACTTTTACTTTATTGCTTCATTAACACCACCTCCGTCAAGGAAAGTCCACAACTTCGCTCCCTATAATCTCAAACCGACCATACGAACAAACAAACAATGCCATCTCTTGCCCCTGCCCTCCTCCTTCCTATCCTCTCCCTCTTCACCCTCTCCGCAGATGCCCGTCCAACAACAGCCTCCCCCGCTGCTGCCACCGTCGAAATATGGAGCATCCCCCGCCTCACCATGCACATGATGACGCCTACCACCGGTCTTCCTGGCGGCGCCTGGCCCCCATCCCTCCGGTTCAATTCCACCATCGATTTTGACATCATGGTTCCCGACCACTCTACCGCAGCATCCGAGACAGTGGCGCCGCTGAAGGTAAACTGCATGGCGAGTTGGGAGAACGGGACGTTGCCTGAGGGACGAATGGGATGTACGTCGTTGTCTACAGATGCGAAAGAGGAGGCAAATGAGGTGGAGTTTGGCATGGATTTGTATACAGCTTTGGGTGAGAGGAGGCCGGAGTTGAGTTTTGTGTTGAGTGTTTGGAGAGGGTAAGTTTGTGCTTGTTTTCTTTTTCTTGTTATACGCTACGATTCCTTGCATGGCTAACTTTGATGTACCAGTCAAACACCTACACTTACTGGCTCCATACCTATCACCGCAAATGACCCCTCGGAGCCCAGTAGCTACCTCACCTGTCTCGGTGGCGCACCACTCGATGGGCTGAGATGCAACATTGGCAGTTATCTGAGTGTGAGGAAGGAGTTGGTCATCCAGGGCAGTTAGAATGACGCGGTCGTGATATTTTAGGCGGAGACAGGGCACAGACTAGTTGTGTTTTTCCACGACGAAAATGATCATCATGCTAATAAGGGAGACTGTAATAAAGGGTATTCGATAATTAATCGGCTCCTGCTTTCTTTTATAATAGAAGTTTAGACATATCCACAATGAAACAAATGGCTTCCTCTCCTCACTTGCCTTACCCCGCTGAGGAAAGGTGGCTGGTGACACGGCATATGCGGTGCACACTTCTGAAGCGGCAGAGGCGTGTTGATGTCTCCACTATTCTCCGGTATTTAGCCTTCTACAGCATCATCGTCACAGGTTTAGAAGCGTTCAATAGCACGCAGACACATCACGAAAGCATATTTCCACGCTGTTCGGACACCACATAGCTTATCTCGACCACCAGCTCCCACAATCTGCAGTGTGCGGTGCAGCACAGCGCAGTATATGTCGTGTCGTGTAAATGAGGCGGACAGCGAAAATGACATGTTCTTTGAGACAGTTGGCGTCTTCGAGTGCTACGGCAGGGGTACAGAGACTGTCGTGTTCGTGAATTTTTGTTTACAAGATGATCAGAGGGCTTAAGTCGACTAGTTTCCCCTCGCCTTTTTGTTTCTTGCTGTTGCTTTCTTGTCTCTCATTCTTCGACTTCAACTTTCTTATTCTATCGCTTTGGTTGAAGATAAGATATGAAGGTGGCTTTCCTGATGTTGATAAGAGTCATGGCATTGCTGAGTAGTGTGTGGGCTGTGTACGGTATTGGGGTTGGGAATGCTGAGAGAGATTTTATAACGAGTCTGGACGTACGTACTTCAAATTTGAGAAGGGTGGTTTGGATACTTATCGCAGTGGTAGACTTCCGCTGCCCATACCCCATACAACGCATCATCAGTCGTCGCGGACCTACCGGCGTCGCCGAACACTACACCCGAGCGATCTAACTCGACTTCCAACTCCGGAGACTTATCTATCCATCACCCGACCGACAAGATCACATATGCTCCGTCAGCCCCTGTACCACAGCCACCACCTGCTTCAGGCGATCTGAGCACCCCAGCAAAAGCAGGCATAATCACCGCCTCAGTCGTCATCTTTCTCTTGGTCTTTGTCCTGCTCATCGAATACACGTACCTCCGCCATAAACGCCACGAACGTGCGCTTCAGCGAGCGATTGAAGAGGTGGAACGAGGTACGGAGCTCAAAGACTCCAACATCAGCGAGAGCAAGGAGAACATGGTGTTAGAAAGTAGGGTTGAGATTGTGGTCGAAGAAGGAGAAGCAAGTGAGCGGAGTAGTGTGGATGGAGGTGATGAGTGGGATGCTGGTACCGACGGAGAGTTTGACGAAGGCGATGGAGATCTGGGCGATTGGGGGAGGGGGAGGACCTGGGAGAGAGGCAGGAATGGAATGAGTTTGCCGAGACGCGATACCTCTGAATGAACGGTGAAGATGGCGTGTATAGTTCCTGGTGAAATTGGCTTTCGGGTCGGGCTGTGGATGACTCCTTGGCAGGACCTCAGGAGAATCGGTTGACTTTGTCTAGGAGGAGAAGAGGGTAAGAAAACTTGTTAGAAATGTAAGCAGCTGTCAATACCAAGTTCTGTATTGCCAGTTTTCGCTTCCAACCTCCCCGAAAATTCTGGTCTTGATATCAATTGAGGTTAGCTTTAGTCGCATGCCGCATTTCCATACTCATTCTGGCGTCTGATCTCACGCATAGTTATGTTGGCGTTTAGCAACTGGTTTTGCTTGTATCTCGCAATAGTTGCCGGGCTTACTCAGCATGCTCTCGATAGGTCGCGGGGCTGAGTGACGTAACTATCAGTCCTATTCCGCTGTTTGCTGTAGAGTTTTAAATGAGGCGGAAAAAGGTGAAGAGTCGTTCTATGTGGGTACATTCACTGTGCAGAGATGGGATCGGCGCTAATGTGACGCTAATGCAGCCGTTGCAGATACCCGTTCCTGCAGAAAGCTTATCATCTTCTACTATGTGCATATCAAAATACTCGATTTCATTACCTGGTTAATCCTAGGCTATCAGTTGTGATGGAATAAGGTGTCGTGAGAATCGAACAATTTCCTTTAATGATGCAATTGCTATCTAGGTACAATGGCGTCAGTTGTGTTCAGCTAGGGCTGCGCTTGCCCAAGTCCTGTACGTACCCAGGCTCTTGCTCCACCACCCTTGACAACTGCCAGCGCAGACTAACTTGACGTTTTCCTTGGTGTTCCAACTTTGCATCAACCTCTCACTCACTCGTTCACCTCTTCTCGCGCTGCTGTTGCCTGTGGTCGCGCAATGCTGCATCCGCTTGCAACCCTACGTCTCTAATCTTGCGCACTACGTTCTGGATACTTAACACAACTCTTGGTTCCTGTGCCACCAATAGGCAACGGCTCTGTCGCTCCCATCGAATCACCTCCATCTCCACGCGATCATCATCGGAATCCAACTCCACAAAAGAATACGGTTTGCTGTAACTGAAGCCTAGAAGCGGCTGGAAAGCCCTGAGCTGTGGCAACCGAGGTGCACAAACCCGGCAACTACATCTCCAGGCCAGCATGCGCATGCTATGGCGCGCCCCCTCACTCTTGGCATTGTACCCAGTGCTACTGCTACTCGTCAGCACCACCATCGCAGACTCAATTGAGGAAGATGGGGTCGAATATGTAGTAGGAACCATCGACGGCGTACGCGGGCTAGTCAGAGATGACCGACAGCCATCTCTATACACTGCCGACTACGGAGACTGCCTTGGCGAAAGTGCTATCAATGTCACGCGGTTCGATGCAGCATACTACAAGGACAATATGACTATTATCTTTCACTTGGAAGGTGAGACAGCACTTAGAAAGGAGGATATAATGATGAATATCGGTGTCTTTGCGTACGGAGAGAGCCGATTCGACCTTACCTTTGACCCCTGCAATGCCAACATAGAGAGGTAAGAACCACCTTCTATACATTAGTGTAGATCTAACGTTACTAGTGCCTGTCCTGTGAAAGCTGGCGTTACGATTGAGGCTGCAGGGATCATACCGATTAATCAGCAAGACGTCGCTGGTATCCCACCAATTGCGTTGAGCATTCCCGATTTTGAAGGGCAAGCTGTGTTACGGCTATTTTCAAATTCTACGCAGAAAGAGATCGGCTGTTTTGCTGCGCAGATCACCAACGGCTTTACCTTCCAGCAGAAGGTGGCTGTAAGCTCTACCCTGGGGGCCTTTACGGCCATAGCCGTCGTCTCATCCTTTGTTACGGCCATCTACGGAACCGAAGTTGCGGAGATGCGCAAGCATTACGCCCATTCATTATCAGTATCCGTCGTCTTTGCCGTTTGGCATCACATCTTCTACAGTGGGGCGGTCTCGATGAACTGGCCCAGCGTTCTCGTAGCCTTCTGGGGTAATTACGCCTGGGCAGGGGGTATGATCTATTCCGAGCCGATGCAAAACACGATCAACGACTTTATTGGGTCAAACAAAGGGAACACGTCTCAAGTCGGTGCTGCAGGGACGGGCCAGAGTAATCCCAATGTCGGAGGTGGCATCGATAGCCATCAGATTTACAAGCGAGATGCTCGACCAGAAGACCTAAATCTGCAAGCTGCTCTGTCAAAGCGTCGTCTCGTCGATGCATTCAGTGGCTTCAAGTACTATGGGCAGCCGGTCAAGCCTGGTTTACCGCTTCCAGGCAACTACTCGGGATTCGCTGGTACACTTGCGACCCAGCGCATACCAGCGAGCAACGCTTTCATGACTGGACTACTATGGCTTTTGATCTTGATTGGGAGCATCGCCTTCTGTGTAGTTTCCCTCAAAGCCACCCTCGAAGTTTTGAGCGCTATGCGCGTTGTCAAACGCGATCGACTCGGTTTGTTCCGATGTCATTACCTGGGCTATCTTGCATCGACCATACTACGCACAGTCTTCATTGGGTTTTTCATGGTGACATTTCTGGCCATGTTCCAATTTTCCTACCTAGCTCTATCTGGGCCTGTCGCAGTGGCCTGTATAGTCTTCCTCGCTGTTGTATTTGGCGTAGGGAGTGTTGCTGCCTACGCATGCTTCTCTAGGCTTCGTATTGGCAAGTACGTCTCCGAGCCAGACCGAATCAATATGGCGAGGAGAAGGCTTCTAAAGGTTATTCCATGGTTCAGTATGTCAAAGAACAGCAAGACTCCACGTTCAGAAGATCTGGAATATATCGGTTCAGTCCCTTGGTGGACAATACATGCCATGGCGGACGTTGAGTCCATCCACGAAGACGAGCACTATATCATACGATTTGGGTGGCTTGCATCACGTTATAGAAGGACTCGCTGGTGGTTCTTCGTCGCCTGGCTATTTTACGAGTTTGTCCGCGCCTGTTTTCTCGCGGGCGCATCCAGTCGGCCCTTGGTGCAGGTTTTCGGTTTACTGGCAGTCGAGGTTGTTGCCTTTCTCAGCTTTATCATCCTCCGACCTTTTGAAGGACAACGTCTCAACGTACTGGCCATGTATCTTCTTGGTTTCAGTAAAGTGGCAACTGTGGGACTTTCTGCAACTTTTGACTCGCACTTTGGCATCGCTCGTATTCCAACGACGGTGGTTGGAATCGTTATCATCGTCATCCAAGGCCTTTTGACCTTGGCGCTTATAGTATTGATTGTCGTTGGTGCTGTCTCCAGCTATATGTCCATCTTGCGTAACCGCGCAGAGATCAAACCGAGGAGTTGGAACGCAAACCGCGAGAAATACTTTGAGCGAATGGGTCTTGCCGCACAAGATGTTCCACTACGGCAACCGTGCCCGGTTCCAGCACATTCGATGCCGGAATCACCGAAGCGTCCACATTTTGAAGTGAAGCGGGTAAAGCGGGTGGCCAAAGTCGAAGATGAAGACGATGAGTTCATGGAAGAGATCAATACTGATCCCTCAGCCTCGCAGCTGTTACTGCCTGATCAAGGTACCATTGAGACTCCACACGGACCGATTCAACGCAACAGAAAAGGAAGTCTTCAATCACAAGCATCTTATTCCAGTCTACCTAGGGCGGCACGCGTACACCGCCCAAGTTGGAGCACGCAGGATTACGCTGAATCAGTGGAGCGTGGACGTCAATGGGCCTTGAGTGAGACCCATGTCAACATTGGTTGTGAAGTTCAGGAGAACGGCGAAAGATATGCAAGCCCTTTTCGTATCTACAACAGCCGATGCATCACGCCAGGTCTTTCCTCTTTGGCACCCTCAGACGAAGGCTACATCGGTAGTCCAGAGAGAAGAGCACCAAGTAGGCTGACTTCAATCTCAAGATCGAGCTCGACACAACAGCTACAACCAAGAATTAGCGAAGAAGAAATAGCTTTGGTGCCAGAGGCGCGCAAAATGAAGTAAAACAGCTAGTGTCAAGGCAGCGCTATGACAAAAAGAGACAGCTATACAGCAGCAGAGACGTAATTCCCGAGTACATTCTCATGCAACAGCCTTCGACCAGCTTAACGCAACAAAGATACTAGGCCAACGGATGATGAGATGACATGTTCATCGAATGTCCACAGCCCATCTGTATCTGTACTTTGCCGCGGTATCGTCTTCTCCAACAAGTGGTCAGGCCGAGAGCGATAAGAAAGTAGCAATTTCTCCTCCATCTTCTTCAGCGACATGGGATTAGTCACATTTGCATTGGACTTGGCAACGGGAGACATCTCGGGGCTTGATTTAGGGAAGTTGGATATGGTATGGTTACGAAACATGAGTAAAAAGCATATTGTAGATAAGAGGCCATCAACAAAGGCATGCTGGTCAGAGTTTTCTTCCTTGGACGCTTTGTGAGGTTGGTGCATACGTGATGGTATGGTTCGGTTGGTTGTTACGTGGACTGACCCACTCCTGCGCAAAACTCCGCGGCAGGGCACGGAAAGAAAATTGGTACAGGGGCGGCCCTTCCTGAACAGCAACGGCGTCACCAGCCACACCAGACAAGGAAGTCCCTTCACTTGATCTAAACGATCAAACCGGGATTGGTCAACAGGCTTGAGAGGCGTAATCTTAGGTGAAATGAGCAGGTTTACGGGACGTTGGCCAAGGGAGGCAAATGAAAAGATGGACATTTCCAAATACCATGTCAAGTGACAGGCGGTTTGTGGTTTTGCACAATGCGGCAGGAGGGACAGCGCTGGGGAGTGGTGAGACGTTGGATACGAAAAGCTGTATGCATGCCGTGCCTTGTTTGAGGAGATTTCGTGATGTTCGATTGCTGTGGCGTCACATCATCAGCGTCAGCAAAAACGACGACGAGGATGCCGGAGCCGCGCTGCAAGGATTCGATAAAGCCACAGGACTACGTCACGGTGACTGGCTCCTTGGATTGTGCGGAGACATGATGGCTACAGTGAGGAGAAGGAGGGGCGCAGGCGGCGGTGGTTGGCACGATAACGAGGATGCAGACGCAGACGCATAGGATTGAGTAGGCTGCCACCCCAATATGGCTTATCAAGGGACCGGACTGGAAAGCCGCGATGGTGAGAGATGATTTGCATAGGCCCAGCCACGGCACACTACGATCGCTACTCTATTCGGGACTAGGAATGACGTCGCCATGTTTAAGGTTGTGGCGCGAGGCCCACTTGGCACATGCAGTGACAGGGGGCGTGCCTGTCTTGCGTCACCGCTTTGAGCGCGTCGACTGTCCATCTTTGCTAGAACAGGTGGGCTGTCGAGCGAAACCTGCCTTGCCCACTGACGTTTTGGCGACTTGGCTGTTTGTAGACCCATGGCAAGTCAGCTGCAGGATGAGTTTGACGGAAATTTGCGACGACAGGGCGCGTGCTTGCAGCGCGTTGAGATGAGGTGAGGGAGCAACGGCAGGCACGGACGTTGTGACGTAGCTGTCGTGCAAGGGAAAGGCCCTATGTTTGCTTTGCTTATAAGTGCTGCCAATATCGTTTGTTATTGTGCTACATTCTACACTCGAAGCATCCCAACCTACAGACCACTTTTCCTTCACCCCCAGCATCCAGCAAAGCCCAGAGCTTGCTTCCCATCATCCACACCACCCACACTCAAACAACACCGCTATCATGGGTGCTGTAGTATCTTGCATCAAGTCGGTCGTATGTATTCACCTTTGCCTCTACACAAACAAACTGATACTAACACGCTCCTCAGTTCCGCACCATCGGCAACTGCATCATGGCCATTGTCAACGCCATCGCTGCTGGCCTCAAGGCAATCATCAACGCCATCGTCTCCCTCTTCGGCATCATCATCAGCTGCCTCACCTGCGGACGCGGCGGCGGCAGGAGGAAGACGCATACTAGTAGAGTCTAGTGCGCGCCCGTTTCTCTCACGCCAAACTGACATGCCATGTGTGTCAGAATGGCGCATGAGGAGATTCGGGCATCGCGTTTGAGCGACTACTTTCGGATTGAAGATTAAACAACCCAAACCGCAACATCTTCGTATCCGACTGTAAGCGCCAAAGCGGAGGAAGTCGACGAGCAGAATTATACCCAGTGGTGCATGTGGTAGTAATGGCACGACATGGAGTTTGAGCGTTTGGGCAACCGATGCCCTTGTTTGCTTTGTATGTCGGATAGAGATGGATGCAAAGGGCGTGGTCAAGGACTTGAGTATGGTGCACACGTCGATGTGGTGCTTTCTTGATCACGACCTGCGCATAGATACCCCCAGCTTTTGAATGGACCTACTTTAATACTCATGCATATCGTATTCTCTACTGGTGACGTTGGCGCATTATCAGACATTGTCTCTGACAACAAACGTGGTTTGGTCAAGTAACTTCTGCCACACCATGTTCTACCCCACTGCCTTGTCTCCTTGCATGTAGTTGCAAACCGGATATTCTGCCCCATGCACTCACTCATTGATTATTCATGCGCATGCATGCCGCTTACTCGATTCTGTCTACATGTCCAGAAAAACATGGGTACACTACGCGAGCGCTGTATCGGGGCTAGAACATTCTGCTTCCATCATGTATGTATTGCCAATGTGCACACGTCGACGCGCATAGCCTTGCATGACAAAGTCCGAATCTTGGCCACCAATTATCATGTACCCCATATCAGGACATCACTATTGAACTATCTTCATTCTAGGCTATCTCAAAGTTCAATTTTATGCATGTCCACGCTGGCTTCCTTTCTCAGTCATATCTTCTTCAGCCAATACCAGGCTATACCCTGCGATACAGGCTACCTAGTGGCAACGTTGCCAACGGCCCGTAGGTCGGTTGAGCCTCTGCGCTAATGTAGTCCGTTCCTCGCCATCAGACTATATTCCTACCTCCATGCCTTGTCCTCCTGCGAAGTACAGAGTACCTGTTCAAACAGCGATACTACTCGTGTTGAATTCGCCCTTGGCCTTTACACATAGATCTCCAGACACACTCTCTAGTGTCGCAACCACCTCCTCTTTGCTACCAACACTGCTAGCCTTTTTAGTAAGGTCTTTTTGTGGGGACAACCAACCCAACCAAGACTTTGTCGGTTGCGCTTCTGGCTCAGGCGGGGGTTCAGACTGGGACAATCTAGGTTTCGAGAAACGGGCGCGGAGGATGTAGAAGTCGAGGCTGTATGTGGGTTTTGCGTAGGTTAGGCTGAGCGAGCATGGACGGTGGACTGGCTCTATAGGATTTTGTTAGTAAAACAGCAATGATGGCACCAATCTGAGCTTGCTGTACATACCGACAGTCCCCTCAGGGCCCGCAACCATCCTCGCCATGATCTCTTCAAAGACTGTTGCTATAGCGCCTCCGTGTGCAACACCGGGCCATCCGCTCATGCCCCCTCCCATCCACACCACAGCCACCATCTCCCTCGTCTGCGCATTCCAAAACGCCCTTTGCACCCCAAACCCTCGCGTTCCACTCATTACCCCCATAATACTATTCTTCCCATCTCCTTCCTGATCAAAATTTACATCCACCTCCATCCAATCCTTGTATGCGGATATCTTTCTGCTACTTGACCCCGGACCAGAAGTCAATCCGGGCCCTGAGCGAAGTGAAGCATCTGTATTTTGATTGTAGGACTGCGAGCGCAGAGATTTGACAATATCCAGATTGTCAATGTCCTGGCCGAGAGATTCGAGAATTATCGTGTCTTCTCGCGATCCGGGCCCGGGGAGGCCAAGCGGTGCGGCAAAGTGTCGCGCACCGAGGCCGGTTGCTATTCCCAGAGCGAAGATACTGGCGTACCAAAGGTAGGACCAGCGCATGCGGGATTGGAGGGGGAGGGGCAGCTCGGTGTGTTGCGCATGGTGGTGAGTAGATCGGAACGATTGGCGAGCGGGACGGTGGATGTGGGTTGCGAAGCGTGTGCGATTAACGATTATGCGCGCTCGAGACATGGCGGTGTTGTGGCCTGTGGGCGACGCAATTGGAAAAACTCGAGGCTTGGTGGCATGGGGATTTGCGGAGAGCTTTGGAGCTGGCAGGGATCACTTCACCGAGGTTGTCTGTTAGCGTCTTGGCGTTGGGAGGTTCTTTTGAGAGCATCTGGACGACTTCGTGTTGTCGCTACAGACATGGATATCACGAGATAATGATCCCACGCATCTTTCACTCTTATTCCCAATCAAAGAACACTATTTTTCACATTACCGGAAATCTTTGAAATACCTAGTCTGGCTGTCATGACACTCGAATTTGCTACATATTGGAGGCCAACGCATATCTAGAGTCATATATCGACATGGAATTCGCTATATATTCTGTGAATCATGTAGGGAACATAATTATTAAGCACCATTCCTCCCATATCTTCGGGCTTCTTCGTATCTAAAATATCAAAAAGTGCAATGTACAGTCATCTGCATTGCCAGCACTAGTTGATCGAACATACACTTATTAGCAGCATCATTTTTCAGGCTATCTCTACTATCTAGCAAGTCCCGTAACACTACACCGAATTCCATAACCCTGGTTTACATCACAGTCCACGTCAATGTTCCTTAGCATCAGACAGTGCACTTCTTCACCGCTCTTTATGTGTAGCTACGACTACTCTAACAAACTAGCAATTTGCTGTTGCGAGTGCAGAAGTATCTGTTGCACGATACGACCTTGCACCAAGAAAACGACGGAGGCAATAACCGAATCGTACAATGCCATAGCGGCGACTGTTCGAGCAAGTCTGGCGGTACTGTGGGTCGACTGGTAGGTAGAAAGAGTTTGATGAGTAGTGATTCAATCATAGTCGAGCATGCTGGTGGTGCAAAAGTGGGGTTGAAATAATAAGCTATGGGTGGGATAGGTAAGCTTTTCCTGCGTTCAAAAGTACATGCTACGTATACAGTCCTTGATATAGGCACAAGATCGCATTGGATGCCGGTTAAAAGTTGCTAGAAACGAGCTATATCGACCATCGATTTGTCATGATCGATGAGAGCCGGTAGGTAGCTTCGTCAGTGAAGTGTCCCAGCTTTCGATTCCTAGCGAACATGTTTCTTAGACATCGTTGAGTACTGGAGGTATTGAATAAGTCTACAAGGCTATTCTTGTGGTACGCTCGGTTCTAGAGCCGCGTCAATCTTAAACGACTTGTTTTCGATATGGTGGTATGCTTACTTCCAAGGTTTGTACGGGAGATTGTATGACTACTTCTCACCGCATTGTTCTCTTCTGACATCCGACTCGAATAGTCTTGTCGTACTCAGATTTACTGCTTATGCGTCTTAGATGAGAGGCGAGTAAGTACCACTGAGACATATCTGAATGAATCAAAAAGCAGTAGCAGATGACCTTCATACCATGACGAGACCAATCACCGAGTTGATTAAGAAAAAAGACGAGATCGCTACTTCGCTGACGATATTAACCCACTCAACCCAATCGAACCATCGTAAATATCTGACTCAAAATCCCTCCATTCAGTTCGTCTGATCTCAAACCCATGACCCGCATCTCGTCCCACCCGACCTCAATATCTCGTGTCGCCCCCAAAACCACTACACTGACTCAACCCTTTGTACTCCCACCCCCCTTCCCAGTCTCTCCTTCACTCAGAAACCAAACAACGCATGTTCCACCGCTTCGGGCAATTCCACCTCGGCACACTGCAACACCCTCAAGTTCCAGCGATCCCCACCACCCCGTCACACCGACGATCCTGTATCACTTGCCTCAGCCGCCGCCGCCGACGCCCCCCTCGTGCCACACGCTGCTTGGATTCAGGAAAGCGGTGACGCAAGTTATTTCCGCTATATACTTTGGCCTTGTACGCCCCTTCGGAGCAAAAAAGGGAATGGGCTTGTGTGAGGCGAGCACCTTGGCCTCCGATTGGTGTCTTGGACCAATGTGACGTTGGAGGTGTGATGCACGAGCGGCTTTCTTGCGTGGTTCCGCGGGTCTGCGTGCGTGTGGTTGCATGGGGAGGGCGAGGTGGGTGCGGTGTGTGGTGTGTGGTGTGGAATTTTGGTATCTTGGTCATTTGAGGCTCGTACGGGTACGAGGGTGTGCTTGGAGGACATTTTATATGATGGACATTGTTTTAAGAGTACCTAGGTAGGTGGTGTATATTCGGCATGAGTAGTCATATTCACACAAAGCATGGTTCACGCTATGTCCTGACTATGTTTTGGGCATCAAGACGTCTCCATCGCGATTCCTAGTATCCCGAGCACATTACATACTGCAGTTTGCTTCACAGCTCTCCCTAGTCTTTTCACAAGTGGCGCATAGGTTCTCGATCTAAAGATGGTCATGTTGAAACGAGATATCTCATCACTAGCACTTCCTAATAGCATTCACAACAGGCAAGAGACTTATAATTAGTGTAGCTATGGATAATAAGAAGCCGTGTCATTAGGATAATCATGCGTAATCCCGCTCTATTTTCCAAATATCCTACTCCTCTCACTATAGTTTCCACATGTCTAATTGCCTAATTAGTAATATTGATGTCTATTTACTACTTAGAACTATACTGAAAGCTGTAATTACTATATATTATTTACATTATAACCTCGTACCTAACATTAGACGAAAAATAGTAAAAAGGGCAAAACAAGCAAGAGATGGAAATAGACTACAGGAACCGAACCTGCGAACCAAATAACCCATTGTCAGCGGTGATTTACAGGGTAAACCCCAACACCCTTCCAATACGCTAGTGAAGCTATTAACCCTGATAACTCCGATAGGATAATCTTGAACTTGTAGCAATATACACATGCGTAACACAAGAGTTAGACGTTAGGTTGCAAATTTGCAGTGCCGCTGTTGCATGGATGCGTTTGCACGTCTCAGTTGAGCGTTTTCGTTTGCGAAGTAAAATGAGCAAACGCGTTAGCGCAGTGCGTTTGCTACTTTGCTTGCGTCTCAGCACTGCACAGCATACACACTGAAATTTGGGACAGAGGTGTTACGCAAGCTTTTCTCAAAAAGGATGGATGTGACGAAAGGCGCGATTGCGAATTAAGAGACATGCTTTATCGGATTGTAGTAGCAAGATGATAGCTACATTATGGCGAAACTCCATTCCTAGGGCTTTGCATGGAGCGAGACGTGTTCAACAAACTTTAAGTGCAGCCACCTCGCCTCGTAATGACTCAGTCGAGTGGGGTGGTATACGAGAATAGCAAGGAATCGAGTGGCAGAAAGGTTAATGGGGAGAGTTTTTTGTGGCATTTACGAGCCTGGAACTACGGACAGAGGGAAATTGATTGAGAATATATGCGTCTTTCTGGGATAGGGAGTGAATGTCTGGGTTTGCGATGGGAACGTGAACAATCGAAAACGACGGGGTCTATGGCACAGAATGAAACCGGATATGCGTAGGGAGCGGTTCAAAATCAGGCTCCTAATCCATAACAATGAGATACAAGGTTAGATATCCAGCGGATACTTTCAAATCCCGTGCATAGTGTAAATGCGAGACGGCGAAGTGAACATTGCTCGCAATATGCTAAAAGAAAACATCGCGAAGAAATTTGCACGTGGTAAGACAGTCGATGACACTCTAAGGAATTTCTAGTTATATGAAGGACCCTACATTTTCGTTTTCCTCGTCTCCATGATGCCGGAATAAGCCACAAAAATGCCTGATCAATGAGTTCTACGCTCAGTGACTTTGGCATATACAGGACATCTTTAAAGGATATGAGGTCTGCCACCCCAAGCGAAAAAAAGCAACGTGAAATGACGCGCCTTGAATGTGAGCTCGATCTTCAAGCCATGTCGCGAATGCAGCAATCGACTCCTTGCCCCTGCGTCGGCACCAACGGCAGGGTAGAGAACCGAGTCGTCGTCATCCTATTCGCTGCAGGGACTGCTATTGGGTTTGCAAACTTTGCAAAGCGAATTTTGCTTCTTATAGAAAGAAAAAAACATGGGAAAAGCTCGTATGGGGAGATAGCGATGGAAGTGCCGATAGAAGAAAAACTCAGGGTTAGTGTAGAGTGCGTGCCACCTCGTGTGGGGCAAGAAAAGACGCACCGTTGCCAAGATGAGACGAAGCATGAGTTGATGAACGATACCATTTGCAGCTTCCGCAGAAAGAACGTGTGTGTTGGCATCAACACGAACGTGACCCGCATCGTCTTGATGACCTACATTTGCAACTTACGCCAAGATCGGAGGACTGCTATATGGGTCTAAGACACGTCCTCATGGTGGATACGGCTAATCGTCAGCTGTGAGACTAGGCATGGCTATGAGACACGCAACATGCAGAGTCCGTCTGATCAGCAAGCTTGGCATCCGACATGATTACCTTACTGGGCAAGAGAAAGAATATGCATGCTCGCTTAAAGTCGGTACTACACATGTAAGCTGAGTATCGACCCATGTTTTCAGGCCAGGAAAAAAGCACGCCGGGCGAGTAAGGCGTACAACCTGTATGGTAGGCAGTCAGATTGGAAGAGACATGCGTAACCAATCTGCAAGGAGACAGAGCCGCATCGGTGTGCTTTTGCCTGACCAAGGGCGACTTCGCGCCCCAAGAGGCCTTTCGACTTGTCAGATCACCCTTGGACGCTTAGGTACTGCGGTCTCCGTCAACTACCCATGCATGAGTAGCCGCTCGCGTAGTTGGTTGGGTTGGTGGCCCAAGAAACTTGCTGATGACTCCAAAAATGGCATATCCTACAGCAGCAACAATGGGTCAAGCGAAGACCTTGCATTGGAGCCACAGCCGAAGCACCCTCTCAGCCATCTACGCCCCGCAGCAAGCCTTTCCCATCGTGTGCCGTCTCTTGACAAGCTCTTCCCTCGACGCCCAACTACGAATGCGTTACTGCAAGCTACGCACCCTCACGATTAGCCGCACGAAGCTAAGTAGAGAGGGTCTAAAATGGCTTCACGATAGCAACAAACAACGCCATATCACGGGTTCACGTCAGACCGGAAATGCTAGCCATAACGACAGTGCTTATTTCGCGGGTTGGGCGCACGTGGATGGCAATCTGCGGTAAGCATGGGTAGCCGTCTTTGGATACTGGTACTCGGGATTATGATTATGCAACAGAAGGTCATTTCAAGTTGTTGTGTGACTAAGGTCCCATGCGAAAGATCTCGGTAATCTCGTTGAAGGTGGTGTAGTTGCACTGGCGGTGATTCTCTTGCCGCCTCTTGGTAAGGCCTAGTAGGTCTTACCTCGCAGCTGGTGCGTATTCTGCTAAGATGAGCCGAGCGAATAAAGAACTGCGAGACTACGGCACATGCTGCTGGGGACGCCTTGAAAGATTGCAGGACAAAAGAGGGTACCGAAAAAACAAAACAGACACGGCGAATATGCAAGTTGGGAAAATTCTGCATACGCAAGTGGCGCAGGAGCACACGCATATGATAGTTTGACGTTGTTTTTGTATTGTGTAAAGAAATGTTAAGTCCTCTTTATGGCGTTGAATGGTTCGCGCGATACGACGAGTTAGCCTTGTGGGCTTTGCTAGATGGTGAATGGTCAACAGATGTCTTCCTGCAGCGAGAGAGTAGAAGGATGAAACAGGCGAAGCAGAAATGTTCAGTAGTTGGTTGGATGTAGATGATCAAGAGTGAGAGGTAGTGTAATGGATGCAGCTACAAGCAAGTCCAATTCCGGATTTGCATAGACCAGCCCACTTGATTGGTGGAGCCTTGGCAGAAGAGAGCATGTCGACCAATACAGGCGCGCACACAAGCGAGAAGGAAGTAATGGTGCCCTCCATGACGACGGGCCAAGCGACAGCCGCGTCGAATAATGTTCTAGGCGCGCACTTGTGTTGGCAGAGATGGTGTGTCAGCATATTGTAAAGTCCTATCAAGCTCAGCTCGTGGAGCCCTTCTGTGGTGATTGAAGCGCGCGGTCAAGCACGAGTCATGGATGGGCTTTTTGCTCTGGCTGGACCGTCCGTAACCGGCAACAAACTCCCCAACGGCAGCAACTGAGGACGAAAGCGGATCAAGTTCCGGCGACCGGAAAGGCTGGACAACGGTCTACCCTGCGTACATCATCGATCCGTGGCGCGCGTGCTAGACGGGGTGGCTTTGCGGGTGTTTATCCTACTGCACACGCACACGATAAGTGGTGCAGACCATGGATGAGGCGCCTGGGGACGATCAACGAGATGCTCGAGGTTGAAAATTAGATTTGGAAAAAAGGCGTCCGCCACAGGCACTTGTGTTTCCTTGCACATATCTGACGCAGGTACAGTAAAGCTGAAAGTGGTGCTCGTACATGCGCTTGGGCACCAGTCTGCAGCATTTCAAATGCTGCGGTACTTAGCTCGGTGAATCAGCACGATGCGCTGACTGACGGCGAGTTTTGGCCGCCAGAAACAAGGAGAGCTAGGACGGGAAGCGGGTTAGCGGGCCCGGGATCTTTACGAGTGGACAAATCAGGTTTGACGAGCTTTTGGGTTGCGGAGCGGTTAGAAGCGACAGAGGATGAGCCGATGAGCAGAGGCCAAACGTGCTTTGACGCAAGTTGCGTTCAGCACACCGGGCCAGGCAGGGGCTGGCGAGTCAGGGCTAGTGGTTCTGGGATTTGAGGGCGAAACTTTGGCCTTGTTACGGCTGCATCACGCAGGAGATGGAGCTACCGAGCCTAGAACTGGCCACTAGTACCATGGGGTGCATACAATGTCATTCCATACCACTTACTCGCGCGGCGCGCAGCTCGCAATCATCTACGCAGCTTGCTCGTCGCAGCATACTTCCCTGCTTGGTGCGACCCATGACGAGATGACGAAGCGGGTACCTAGTGGTCCTGGTGTCGTTCGGTCTCGGATTGCGGAGTATGTTGGATGTGAAGGCCAAGGGCCGTGCTGGGCAGATGTATCAATAGATTTGAGTGATGCCTGGCTTGGCTTGATGCTGGAATCATGAGGCTGCAAATCAAATGTCGTGCATGGTGCAGCCGATGCTGGGGGGTCATGGGGGATGGGGGCGCTGGCGCTGGGTACTGTGGGTGCGGCTCATCACAACGTGGCCGCCGGCTGCGGTTGCTGACAGCAGCAGGCATGAGTCACGTGGTGGATACGAAAGAGGTGCACTGAGGTTCGGACATGCCGTCACGTGTGCAGATCGTATCGGTAGCTACTAAGCGTAAGCGAAAGCGAGCGACATGATGCGTAGCTCGGATGCCCTGTGCGGTAGACAGTACGACTAGCAGCGCGTAAACGGAATCCCAGGAGCGCGGTTAGACTGTTGTGGGCGTCACCGGCTAGAGGACCAAGACTTCCGTCCCAGGGTGAGTGGGCTGAGGCGTGACGGGGAAGAGGGGCTGCTCGAAACGCCACTAGCAGAGTGTGTTGGTGTCATGATTTAGGTTTCCAGGCCGGGTGCAACACGGACTAAGGCCTGTGGGGCCACGGGCACTCCGAACGCTTGAGACGCTTGCGCAGAGATCTGTACGCTTGAACGGGCGAGATCTTAGCGTAGCCAACACGGCGGACGAGGCCGTTGCTTTGGCTTGACGCTTGGAGGAGGGGAGAGTTGTCGACGACGCAACGCAGGTGCAGATGCGAACTGTTGGGGGGGGGGGGGCAAGTCACGAGGGATGAGGGAAGAGAACCATGGACGACACAGCGACGGCGCCGTCTTAGCAGACAGTTGGAGTGCATTAGGCAGTAACAAGACTGGTTCTGATATGGAGCCGGCCATGACGATATGGCGGGGTCGCAGGAGAATGCAGAATGAAAGAGTGTGCGCACGTATCAGTAGGTTCAGGCCAGCCCCCAAGACACGAATAGACACGTCTAGTCTAGTGGACATGGGGATGCGCGCCGGAGATGGCAGCTGCAGCAGGTCAGGCAGGTCAGCGCAACTCTGCTGCAATAGTGTAAACCGTGTGTAATGTGCAATGTGCTATGTCCTATCTGCAATGTGCATGGTCGACCATGTCCATGTGTGAGCCAAAGAGGAAAGCACCGCCGGCCAAACCATCACATCGCAACTGCCCTTCGCGGAGCCTCGCTTAGCTCATGGTCCCATTGGGCAGCCGCGTCTGGGATAGCTCAAAGCACCCGCATCCGAACACTTGCGACAAAACATGGTGAGATGAAAGGGAGCGTGCCGTGTCGTCTGCGATGCCATGTTGTGTCTTTTTTCTTCTTCGTCCCGCCCCGCCACCCAAGGTTGCGCAGCAGCTGTCAATATACCGCATCCCAGCCGGCCAGGGTTAGCCCACGTTGCGACGACGCCCAGCCGACCCGAGACGGGCAGAGGCAGCAAGCCATCAGCCATCAGCCATTGCCCATCAGCCTCTTACCGGTCGCTGAGGGCGCTGAAGGAGCCGGCCATCGGCTGTGGCTACGAGATCTGTCTGCTGCTTGGCCCTGCAGGGCGCCTTAACGAGCCTGGCGTCGCAGCGGCTGCCCCAAAACAATGGTCTGTGGCATCAGCCCTCAACTATGGGGCCTGCGTGCAGCGAACCGAGTGTCCGATCGACCGCGGAGTCGTCCCTAGTACCTTGTCGCTCTGTCATTCCGTCAGCTGGCGAAACCAGGCCGCTGGGAAGCGGCCGCGAGGCCACCACCGCACACCACTCTGGATGCCAGCCAGATACCAGCCAGATGCCAGCCAGATGCCGTCCACCACCGCCCACAAACCGCTGCCTCCGACATGGTTGTGTAGTTGTGATTGTGGACGTGGTCAGGATAGTGCAGCGCCTGTCAGGCCCGAGTCCGCCACCGCCCTGTGTGGATGCCGCCCGTTGGCTGCCGTAGTCCAGAAAGCCCAAAGACGACAGCCGACGGCACCCAGACGCGCGCAAAAGAAGTCGGAAAGCACACCTCCACGTGGAGATCCACCCATCTAGGTAGAATGTACGACGGCGGTGCGCCGGGACAGGCGTCAGGGAGATTGACTTGGGCAGGCCCAAAAAACCTCTTGCTCTGCTTATTCCACCATGCCTGTTGTGAGGGACACGTGCCGCAGGCAATATAACAGCCCGTCTAATAATAGTCGGACCTTTCACCCTCGCCCCGAGGCCTATGATTACACACCAGGGGCCATCAGCAGCCTCCCGAAGTTATACCTGGACCGTCATGATACAGTCCTGCTCCCCAAGCGATGCACGCCGTCATAGCATCCTACACGGAACGGGTATCACGTCGATCAC